TAAAACCCAATCAATTTTATCATAAAGAGATAAAGTTTCATCATCGTAGCAGAGGAAGCTATGGATTTTTCTTCTTCTTCGTTTTTTCCCTTTTATTTCAGTTTAAGTTTCAAGTTTTACTGAGAAAGAAATAGTGTTTCAAGTTTCAATCTTTCTTGTATTGGGTTATCTGTTCTCTTTGAATATTTTGTTTTTGTTTTTTTTTTCTGGGTTTTGTTTTCACTTTCTTTTCATGGTGCATATAGATGGGTTTGGAATTGGGGGAGTTCCCAACATAAAGGATCTTAGGCAACTAGTGAATGTTTTTACAAGTGTGACTGCTCTTATTTTATTGCCTTTATCCTGTGGGGGTTTAAGGGAAGTTAATGTTAAATTTCCTGTTTAGGGTTTAAGTGATTACTGTTCAATCCCCTTTTAGGGTTTAGGTAGTTGCATTGTTTCTTAAGCAGTGTGTTAAAGAAGGTCAGAACTATCTTTGTTTCATCCCTAGTGTGATTATAGGGAGGTGTTAATCCTTAGTGGGATTCTAATGAGGTGATTGTCTTTTGAATTAGTTTACGTTGTTAACTCTAAATAAATAAATATTAGATATTTGGTTTTTTATATAAATAAATATTCAATTTTTTGGTATTTTAATATTTTTTATGAGCAAATTGAGTCAAAAAGTCACAAAAACAACCTCTCTTGAATTGGTAGTTCGTGAAAAATATTGAATGTTAATGTTTGTGTATATTAATGTGAGTATTAGTCGGTCCAAAAGAAGATTAATATTTGGTCGAATTGCATACACACTTGTAATGATAAATATGTGATAATTATAAGGATTTGCTTTGTCGATGATAAATCAATCTGAAGACTGGTTTTTTGTTGGACGTGCTTTATTGTCAATGTTTGATCATTACAACAAGATACCCCTAGTAGTTAATATTACTGTTCACAGACTTGATATTGATGGTGCATTAGGTGTCTTGAGATGGGTTAAACCATTATTTGAATATATATATATATATATATATATATATATATATAATTATTTATTTTTATAATGTGAAAATAATTAGTTTGTTTCTTTTGTTCTTAATTTAGCTACAATTGTTTTTGTATCTGCCAATTTAAACTTTATTCCGATCCTCAAAAGTATGTTTCCTACTTTGGTCTGTTCTGAAGTCAATTTAGCGTCAATACTTAGTAACACTTGGTGGTTAGACTCAAGCGCAACTACTAACATCAGTGTTTCTATGAAGGATTGTCTAAGCTACCAGAAGCCAATTGATTCTGAAAGATGGATATATGTTGGAGATGACAAATCGGTAGAGGTGGAAGCTATAGGACATTTTAAATTGTTATTGAGTACTGATTTTTATATGGATTTGAAAGACACCTTTGTTGTGCCGTCATTTAGACGAAATTTGGTTTTAGTTTTTTATTTGGACAAATTAGGTTATTTGTGTTCATTTGGAAACAAAAAGTTCAGTTTGTCTTTTAATTCATATATTGTTGGAACTGGATCACTTTTGGCTTATGATAATCTGTATTTACTTGATACTGTGGCCACCTATAATGAAACCCTTAATACATAATCATGGGGTACTAAACGTAAAATTGACGATACTCACTCAGGAGCATTATGGCACAGACGCTTAGGTCATATCTCTAAAAACAGAGTTGAATGAATTGTGTCAAATGGAATCTTAGAGTCCATTGACTTCACAAACTTTGATGTTTGTGTTAAATGCATTAAGAGCAAACAGACTAGAGCAAAGAGATTAGGTGCATATAGAGCTACAGACGTCTTAAAGTTGATACATACGGACATTTGTGGGTCATTTCCTGCACTTTCGTGGAATGGTTAATAATACTTTATACCATTCATAGACGATTACTCACTATATGCATATTTAATCCTTATACATGAAAAGTCACAATCTCTAGACGTGTTCAAAACATTTAAAGCTGAAAATGAAAATGAATTTAACAAAAGAATTAAGTCTGTTAGGTCTGACCGTGGTGGTGAGTACTATAACATATTTGACGGGTCAGGTGAATAGCGTCCAAGACCTTTTGCCAAGTACCTAGAGGAGTGTGGAATTGTCCCACAATATACCATGCTGAGATCACCTAGTATGAATGGTGTAGCTGAAAGACGAAACCAGACTCTTAAAGATATGGTTAGGTGTATGATTTGTCATTCTACCTTACCGGAGTCACTCTGGGGAGAGGCACTAAAGACGTCAGCTTATATTCTAAACAGAGTACCAACTAAAGCAGCTACCAAAATACCTTATGAGCTTTGGACTGGGTGACAACCTAGTCTAAAGCATTTCCATGTGTGGAGTTGTCCAACTGAGGCAAGGCCTTATAAGCCAAACGAAAAGAAATTGGACTCCCGAATAGTAAGTAGTTATTTTATTGGTTATGCTAAAAGATCCAGGGGATATAAATTTTATGATCCCACATTAAAGACAATTTTTTAGACGAGAACTGCTATGTTCTTTGAGGATATTGAGTTTGGGGGGAAGAATAAAATTATGAACTTTGTCTTGGAGGAAGAATCGGTAACAATTCCATAACCAATTCAAACAGTTACTTTTGATAAAGTAAGTTCGGAACCTCCACAAGGAATTGTTGATGAACCCCTTACTCAAGATGATTTGGTTATTCATGAAGAACAAACTCAAGATCCTCAAGAACTTGTGCATCATGAGCCAATAACTTTGCGGAGATCCACTAGAGAAAGAAGAAGTGCTATTTCGGATGATTACATGGTATTTCTTCAGGAACATGAGGAAAACAATGATATGATGGAAGATGACTCAATTAACTTTTGTCAAGCTATGCAAGGTTCTAACTCTGAAAAGTGGATTGAAGCAATGAAAGAGGAGTATATGTCCATGCAAGACAACAAGGTTTAGAAACGTGTCCCATTACCAGAAGGTATAAAACCCATTGGTTGCAAGTGGATATTTAAGACCAAACAGGATTCTAAAGGTATTGTGGAAAGGTATAAGGTTCGTCTGGTAGCTAAGGGCTAAACCCAAAAGGAAGGGATTAACTTTAAAGAGACTTTCTCTCAAGTTTCATCGAAAGACTCTTTTAGGACAATCATGGCTCTTGTAACACATTATGATTTGTGTTAGACAAATGACATCTAAAGGGGGTGAATAAATGCCAATTAAAAATTTCTTTTAAGATGTCCAATAATTTATTAATTCAATTTTAATTATCAGATAAAATATAGATAAAACGGAAGCGATATAATTAAATAGATAAAGGGAAATATTCAAGGGTGGAGATGTAGGATGCAGTGTTGTTAAAGAGATAAAGACAAGAGAATAACACACAATAATTTATACCGGTTCGGGTATAGCCAATCCTACATCCAGTTCCCAGTCAACTCTAATCATAAGAGTGACTCCCAATTCACTATCTTTAAAATTCAGTTTACAAATTACAATCAACTCAACAAAGAAACCAGTAAAAAGTAAACTAATCAAAAAGACAATCACCTCCTTAGAAACTCACTAAGGATGAACACCTTCCTAGAATCTCACTAGGAATGAACACCTCCTCTGAACAAATCAAAGGATGAAAAACACCTCCTTTGCAACCAACACACAAAGGATGAAAACCTCCCTAAAATCACATCAGAGATGAACACCTCCCCAAAAAAATCAAAGGGATGAACAAAGAAACACACTTCTCAAGAAATAGTGCCCACAAGAAAACCCTTAGTTTGTAGGCAAAGAAAATAAGAGCAACAACCTAAACCCTAGAAAGCGAATTTAATGACAACCACCTAAACCCACAAAGGATGAAGGTAATAAAATAAAAATAGTCGCATCTGAGTAATGGAGACAACAAATTGTAGAAGCCTGTAAAATGTCAACCTCCAAGAACAAGTGTGATTAACAATAAAAGCATAGAAAACAGTAGAGAAGAGGGTTTTCTCAAAAGGTGTAAAATATATTTGTTGTCTTGCTTATAATTCTTTTCTTAAAACTGAATGAATGTAAAATTATATTTTCAAATTTTGTAATTATGTATTTTTTATTTTTCATCAAAACTCATTTAAAGAGGAAAATAACATCAGAAAATAGTCGTTGGTCATTAATACTTTCGTAGAGAAAAATCGGGATGTATTCAAGAACATTTATTCTTCAAAACGGATATATTTTTCAAATATGAACTGCCATAATCAATGTTGTTACCAGTATAATCAATTATGACAGAAAGAAAATCGTTTTCCCATTTCTGATGTATGACAATTGATTATGAAAGTGAAAAATGTCATGTTACGAAATTTTATCACACTTGTGTTTTAGAGGCTTATGCATAATACCACTTCATCAACTTATACCTTCATATCCAGTATTCTAAGACTCTATCTAGTCTTCAGGAATCATATTAGACTTGCTTGAATCTTAAATGTTGTTGACTTGAATCATTATCAAAATCATCTCTTGGGAATGTAGAGACATGTTTTACATTGCCATCAATCTTCCCCTTAGTGTTTTCAGTTTTAGGGCAATCCAACAAGCCATGTAGTGCCTTAAGCTAGAACCTTCTTTTCTTGCATGAGGTTTCACACTGTCATCAATCTCCCTCTCATTACTTTCAATTTGGAGCTTCATCAAATGGATGTCAAGACGACGTTTCTCAACGGCAACATTGATGAGACAATTTATATGGTACAACCAAAAAATTTTGTGCAGGAAGATCCAAAGAATATGGTTTGCAAACTGACAAAATCCATTTATGGACTAAAACAAGCATCTCATCAATGGTACTACAAATTTCATCAAGTAATTCTCTCATTTGGCTTCGAGATGAATATTGTTGATGATTGTGTGCATCACAAGTTTAATGGGAGCAAGTATATTTTTCTGATCTTATATGTTAATGACATTCTACTTGCCACTAATGATATAGGTATATTGCACGAAACTAAGAAATTTTTATCAAAGAATTTTGAGGGGATCTAATGCGAACCTTGACGCCCAATGGGCGATAAAGGTAAGGGGTAGAACCGATCCGCTCTTTTCTTTCACTTATTGGTACAACAACTTCATTCCTCTCCCAGCAAGAGGATGCGCGAACCATTGTTCCAAAGATCAAAGAATCTAGGGAATCGGAAAAGTAAAACCTTGTCAGGAAGAAAGTGAAGCAGGTTCGTGCTCAACTCGTTTTGTTTGTTGAAGTCACAAGGGCTGGAAGAGGAATTGCCCGATTCGATGTTGGAGTTGCGGAGCTCTCGTGGCACGAAATCACCCTTACTATTGAAATGGTTCATTAGTAGAGATGTTCCCACTGGTGCCCCTTTTTCCAATGGGACTATAATTCCTATTCTTATCCTTTCATTCCCTCTTTTGGTCTATCTACATTTGCTCAAAGCTTAAAGGCAAAGATCACATTCCTAGTGTCAAGCTAAAGGCCAAAGATAGGGGGCGACACATAGGTTAGTGCTTCGCTTTCACTATAATATTTCCTCCTGTGATATTTTGGCATATAATCCAATTCCAGTTTTCTAGCCTTTGACTTTGAATCCCTTTCAATGGGCAAAGTCAATCCATCAGTAAGGGGCGGAGGAAACACTATTTCAAGTGAGGTGCCACCTCATCCTTCTTGCCTTTCCAGGTTGCCTTCTTTCAATGTTCAGAAGCCTTGAAAGACCCCGTCATCATTACCAAAATGAAAGATCTTGGTGATGCCTCTTTTGTATTAGGAATTCAGATACACCGAGATCGATCTCGGGGTATTTTAGGATTATCACACCAAGGAGCTATATTGAAAAAAATTCTTAAAAGGTTTGACATGCATGAATGTAAATCCGGGAATACTCCAGTTGCTAAGGGAGACATTAGTCTCAATCAGTGCCCAAAGGGAAATTTGGAAATTGAGAAAATGCAAAAGATTCCCTATGCATTAGCTGTAGGGAGTTTGATATATGCCCAAGTATGTACGCGTCCAGACATATCATATATAGTTGGGGTTCTAGGAAGATATTTAAGCAATCCAGGAATGAAACATTGGAAAGTAGCAAAAATGGTTATAAGATATTTAAAGAGAACAAAAGATTATATGCTCACATACAGGAGGTAAGACCAGTTGGAGATCGTTGGGTGTTTTGACTCAGACTTTGCAGGATGTCAAGATAGTTTGAAATCCACTTCAGGTTACATTTTCATGTTGGCAGGTGGTGCAATTTCTTGGGGTAGTGTCAAGCAAACCCTTACAGCTTCATCCACTATGACAGTAGAATTTGTAGCATGCTATGAGACATCAAATATGGAATATGGCTGATAAATTTTGTCACAAGGCTGCTAATTGTGAAAGGCATTGAAAGACCACTTAAGTTATATTGTGACAACAAATTAGCTATATTGTATTCCAACAACAATAGGAGCTCGAGTAAGTCAAAACATATCGACATTAAGTTTCTAGTTGTTAAGGAAAGAGTACAGAGTGGATAGATTTTCATAGAACAATTAGGGACAACCTCCATGATAGCAGATCCTCTAACTAAAAGACTTCCACCCAATGTCTTTCATGAGCATGTTGCTCACATGGGTGTTTTACAGTTTGAGGAATTTGTGGTTTAGTGAAAGTTAATTATTTTTATATATTTTATGTTCTATGTTTAATTTCATGTATGTATACATTGATTTTTTAGACATATTTGGTTATCTATAGATATGCGGTTTTTCGTTCATTCATTACACTTTATACATTAAGGTTATTATATCGATCTCGATAAGTTATAGTTTGGACCAGTTGAAAATAGACGTGTACATATCACCTTCACGTAATTTTTCATGCTACACATTTCATAATGAATCCATGTCATTTGGTTATGTTAGGATTAGTAATCATTGTTGGTTTTAGTTGCGATGATGCAATGAAAAGCTGGTTTGGTTTTATATCCTGATATGATCAATAGACGAGACTTTTAGAGTATGCTAAAGGAATATAATGACAATTTTGAGCTCATAAAGTCTAACACATTTGTAAGGTTATAAGGACATATATATTTGTGACCAGTGGAAAATTGTTGGCAAATTTTGGGTCATGTATATATATATATATAATATAATTTAAATGTATTAGGGCCATTATTTATTAAGCCAAATAATAAAGTGATCTGACTAAATTAAAATTTTGGCTAAAGGCATATGTCATGAAAATAAATTTATGTAGAGACCATAGAGTAATTTCTAATTTGATGAGGGGTCAAATTAGAAATACTAAAACTTAAGTAATTAACCTAATTCTGGTTACTTAAAGGGTCATGGTCCCCCTTTTGAGAGCACACACAGAACATAAGTCTTAATTCCCGTTCCTTTCTTTCTATCCCCATTAAGAGAGAAAATCCAGAGGGAAAATAAAGGTGTTCTTCAGGTGGAAGACCATAAGATCAATAGTGCTCTAAAATAGACATCATCATTATAGCTAATTCAGGTACACTTTCGCATTCAGTCTACAACATATTTATGAGTATGAGATAATGTTTATGTTTGATCGTTATAATCAAAATCAAGATCATAATTATTAGTTTTCTAACAACATTAACTATCTAACTAGCAAAATCTGGTAATTTATCTTAGATGTTAATGCTTCCTACAATATCCTTCTCAAAAGATCATCCCTCAATGTCTTGGGTGCAATAGTATCCACCCTTCACCTTATAATGAAATTCTCGTCATCATTTGGAGAAATAATAACATGGCATGTAGACCAGAGAGCATCCCAATAATATTATGTTTCTAGTCTAAAGATATCAACCAACATTGAGACATGTGCACAAAGAGAATGAAATAATCTAACCATACTAACAAATCTAGATCCATAAGAGAATGATGACAATAGGGTGAAACTAAGAGAAACAATTGTTACATTTCATTTAGGATGATAAAGCAAGATACTAGGGTGAGATCCCCCCTTATGAAAAATGAGTGTATCCTTATCATTAATTTTTTAAAAGAGAAAACAAACATCTTTACTTGCATTGTCATTGACATGTTGGGAATAGATTCGAGGATCATGTATCACCGACTCTAGGTGTGCAAAGAAGCTTGACCTATAGCCTAAAAAAAGAGGAAGTTAGGAGAGGAAATGAAGAAAGACAATAAAAGATGAGGTCAATAAACTCCTTAAAGTTGGTTTTATAAGGGAAGTTTGCTATACTATGTGATTAGCTAACATGATCTTAGTCTAGAAACCAAATTGAAAATGACGCATGTGCATTGATTACACGAATTCAAACAAGGCTTGTCTCAAGAATGTGTATCCCCTCCTAAACATTGTCCAACTTGTTGACAATGCGAACAAACACAAGATTCTAATTTGTTAACGATGTGACAAAACACAAGATCCTTGTTGTCACCACCAATCCTTCACAAACCTATTTTCGAATTACCATTATTATTGTACCTTGCACTATCAAAAATCGCAGTCAATGTGATATTGGTTCAAGTGATAGAGGGTGAACAAAAACCAATTTATTACATAGTCACATCATGCAAGATTCTGAAAATATTATCAGATGAAAGAAAAGATTGTCATGACTGTGATAACGACTTCTAGACGTTAGTACTTTCAAAGCCATTACATCATAGTTCAAATTGACTATCCTATAGCCAAGGTTATCAGAAAATTAGAGCTTGTTGGGACAATGATTACATGATCCATAAAATTGTTCGATTTCAACATAAAATATGAGTTGAAAGGGTCGATTAAATCCTAATGTTTCACCAATTTTATCAACAAGCTGAGGTCGGAAGTACAAATGGAAGACTAGTGGTGGATATTGATTACTAACACATCATTCAACTAGACGGGTGGAGGAGTAGGAATAGTTTTGGAAGGACCTGGAAGTTGATGGAATAATCCTTATAATTTGATTTTAAAACATGCAACAACCAAGCAAAATATGAGACTCTTATTATCAGATTATTACTTGCAAAAGAAATGGAAATGACAAGGATAAAGTATAGAACAAACTCTCAACTCACAATAGACCATTTATTTGAAAAATTCTTAGTAAAAGATCCTTTGCTGTTGAAATGCTACCACCATGTTATCGGCTTGTTATTAAGATTTCAAGATAGTAAACTCATACATACCCACGAAGAAGATAATGACTTGAATGTCAAAATGTTTTTTTGTGAGTATACCATTAACATCCTAATTGAGGAACCAAAGACAATTAACATTCACTAAATACTTTATAAAAATACTTAAAAATATTTAAAAATTGAACGATCTATGGACGATCTAGTAAGAGATTCTCAATCTTATAAAATATAAAGATAATATTATTATACAAATAAAATTAACCACTAAAAAAATTTAGTAAAGTGTAATTAAAATTGTTAAAGAAGTAGTTTAATAAATGTAATTATAATAATACTATTCATGTATATTTTTAAAAATAATTGCCTCTAATAAAAAATAAATAAATTATATTTTCAATATGTCCGAAATATATATGTTTTAGTGAAAGAAATATAATTTATTAACTTGCACTAAATTTTATTATATTTAGTGTAAAATTTCCCTCTAAGCTTCTCTATATTAAAAAATTATTATTATTTAAATTTTATAAATTGATATTTTAAATTAAATAAAAATAAGAAAAAATTATAAATATAATGTTTTAAATTTTTAAATTAATGGGACTATCATATAAAAAAGTATGTTTATACAAACTCTTCCAAAATATTCGATGACACTTCTCTTTCTCTATTTTATAATATAAATCCATTTATACTGTTTTATTTGATTAAGATGTTTGTTTAAAAGTTAAAATTTAATTGTTCTAGTTTTTCAGATAGAGATCTTTTAAATAAATTAAAGTATAAATAAAAGCTATTTTAAAATATGTATACTAACCAAATTCGAAATTATCGAATAAATTAACCGTCTTTTCATTTCACTTCATATTTATAAACCCTTAAATTTTCAATTACTTTGCATCAATAATATTCAGGGATCTTATGTCGGCACATTCAATTATTCATTACAAGCATAATATTTTAACTCACTGAAAAATAATGCAAAAATCTAACAAGTTATAGTTAATAATTTCGGATATAGTCATAATAATTTAAAAATCACAACACGACAATGCAGGACACAAGGAACTTCAAACTACGACCGTTTATCTTTCAGGTACGCCATGAAAACCACATTGGAGCCGTTGGATCCGAATTTCAGCGTCTTACGTGGCAGTTTTTAACTGCATTTAAAATCCGCATTTGAAGTCCGAAGTACAAATTCTCCGAAATAACCTCTACACTTACACACTTAGTTACTGACAGTCGCAGCGAGAGAAAGATGTCAAAGTGTGAGTGAAAAGCTCTGTTCTGTTCTTTGCTTCTCTTCCAACTGAATCTGTAAGCTTCTTCTCTTTCAATTTCCCTTGTTACGAACCGTTTTACGTTGAAAAGTTTGCATCTTTGTATTTACTGGAGTCAATTCTAACATGGGGATGGGGATTTCGGGTGAGGAATTTTTAGGGCTTTGAATTGAAAAAAGTACTCAAAGTTGGGACTTTGACTTTGGTTTAAGTTTGACACTCTGAGTTCTCACTGGGTGTAGTTAAGAAATTTTTTTTTTGGATGTTTGCCACCTTGGCTCTCTGTGCTCTGATGAGAATTTTGTTGTTGGAATTGCATGATTAGGGTTATCCTTCTGATGGGGTGGTGTTCATTTCTCTGGAAATGGTGCAAAATGAATATTCAAAGTGCATATTTTTTATTTTTTAACTCCTCCCCTGCTGGACAGTGATGAGTATTGTCATGTTGACCTTTTGTTTATCAGTAACCGCATTCCTTTGCTGGTTTTATGAGGATGGCTATTTTTCATGCTTTCATTGAAATTGATTTATTTTAGGTAAATGTACTCTTTTTTTTTTTTTTTTGGTTGTTGTTGCTACGATTGAAAAACATAATTTAGCTCCACTGTTATTCAATCATTGTTATCAATGTTGGATAGTAGTAGCACGTTGCAGCCAAATTCTAAAAACACTATTGGGGGATGGTTGATGTTTTTATTTTTTTAATAAGGAAATATTATCAAAACTATTAACATAACTACACATTCAATACTAAAAATACTCAAACTTCATGACATATTCGTAATTATCAATAAAAGTCAGAATATAGGTCAAGCTACAACAGAAAAATACTGCCTTTGATGGCTGCTTTGTAGGTGCCAACTACCTCTGTTGCTATGGTGCCAATGTAGCATGCTATCAATAACCCTGAGTTTACTCTTAAAATATTTGTCTTATTCAATTGCCCTTCCATTGTAGCTACCTTTATTTTTTCCTTTTTCTTTTTCACGCTGTGCTGTTTGAGTGTTTGTAATATTCATACTAAATGATCTTTTTTAATCTCCAGGTAGTTGTGCTATTTACAGAGTGTAGAGCATAGAGTGCATCGGAAATAGTAAATTTGTATATTTACTGTAAATAAGATCAGTATGGATGAGGAAGAACCAGTGAATGAAGTTTCTAAAACTGATTCAAATGGAAAGAGCTCTCCGGAGAAAACTTTGGATGCAAGTACTGAGAAAAAAAGCATGGAAACTGCTGAAGGAAAAGTCTTGGAGAACAATGGAATCAAAACGTTGAAAGATAATAATGTGAAAGAAATTGATGATAAGAAAGCTGATAATGTGGAGAAGGTAGTAGAGGACAGGAAAGTTGGTGCAGTGGAAGAAGCGAAAGGGGATAAGAAAGAAGCAAAAGATGGTAAGGCAGAAGATGGAAAGGAGGGAGCAAAAGAGGATAAGAAAGAAGATGGAGTGGAAGATGCAAAAGAGGATAAGAAAGAAGGGGTGGATGTAAAGGATAAGAGAGATGGGGTGGATGAAGTAAAAGAGGATAAGGAAGTTGATGGTGTAGGAGTAAAGGAAGGTATGGAAGTTGATGTCAAGGAGGATAAGGAAGTTGACGGTGTGAAAGAAGCTAAGGAAGATAAGGAAGTTGATGGTGTAAAAAATATAGTAGAAGATAAAAAAGGTGATGAATTGAATGAAATAGAAGAGGAAAAGAAAGATGTTCATATACCTGAGACTGATAAAATGGGTGAAGACACTGAGGTTAAGGAAACAGTGGAAGATAAACAAGAAAATGACGAAGTGGAAACTGAGAAACCAGAAGTAGATGCTATGGAAGTAGAGGATGGCATTAAGGGGAAGGAGGACAGCAATGAAAAGAAGAAAGATGAAGTGGCGACGGAGGAGGATCAGGATGAAGATGAAGATAAGGATAATTCTGGTAAGTCAAAAGCAGAAGAGAAGCCAGAAGATAGTAAGGGTAAAAAAGGATCAAAAAAACGTGCAATAGAGAAGATCAATGAGGAGAAAGTTAAAGAAAAAAGAAAGGAACTGAAAAAAATAGAACCAAGGACTCCTACTATCGACCGCCCCGTGCGGGAAAGGAAATTAGTTGAGAGGTTGGTAACATCAATTGAGAAAGATGCGACCAAAGAATTTAACATTGAAAAGGTATTTTGTTTTCAGTTTAACATTTGAAATATTTACCCTTAACTATGCATTTATTATAACTTAATTTGTTTACAGCTTCTCTTTCAAATTGCAGGGCCGTGGCACACCTTTAAAAGATATACCAAATGGTATGGCGCTTCCCTTTTTTGAATTCTTCTTCAATAATGGCCTTTTAATCCCTTCTGTTTCTGTATATGCTCAAGCCAGCATAAATAATATAATGCATAATGTACATGCACAAGCATTCCACGTAACATGTACATGCATAAGTCTATGATTTGAATTTTACATATTATCTTTCAAGAAATTGGCCAGATATATATAGTTTCTATACTTTTCTAATTATGTTAGAGTGTGCCATTTGTGGAGATGGTTGATTGAAGATTGTGAAATTATAGTTGTATTGTATCCCTTCAATTCATTGATTATGTGAGTCAAGGATATATACTTATCTGCATCTTTTTCCCCCTCAATATTGAGCCCTTCTGCTGCAGATTGTCATGAGTTGGTGATCCAGGCTTACAGCATAAGCAGTTGCTTTAATTAAGTACTTGGCAAAATCCACTAGCTTTTAATGATTTGATTGTCTTGTGATCTTTAATCCATTTATAGAAAAGTTACTTTTTGCATGCCTTCTTTTTCCTATTAAACGGGGAAAATATATATGTATGCATATTCCTTTTCTCTCTTATTATACCTTCAATGACAATAATAATGACAAACTTGGAAATATCTGAGGTCCATCCTTTCACTCTTAATGGCAAATGAGATTATTAGCTAATTATAGTTTGTTCATTGTATTTAATGTCATTTTATTATTGGGTCTATGGAATGTTTAGCTCTAGAGAGAATGGGACAAAATAGTAGCTACCAAATCGACCATAATTTAGCAGTAATGGAAAGGGATTCTGCTATAAATATATGTAAAGTTGACCTGATACATGGGGGTTTATTAATTCTTGTTCTTATATTCATTCATAATGCTGTGAAGTGTGCTTGCATATTTCTGCTAATTCAGAACATCTAAAAACTATTTGACTCTTGCATTTTTTGCACTAGTGGCATTTAAGCTATCCAGAAGAAAGACTGATGATACCTTCAAATTACTCCATACAATTCTCTTTGGAAGGAGAGGGAAGGTATGTCTTCCTTAATTATCTGTGTTTTTTATTACAGTTGTTACACCGACCCTGTTTTATTTTCTTTTATGTCTTTGTGTTATGCCACATCTATAGTTTAGTTAGGATATAGAAATAGAATAGTGGTTGCCTAGATTGTAGGAAGTTGAACATTTAAAACTTACCTTTGTTAAAATGTTTATACTAATATTATTATGCTTTTTCGCGACTCCGGTTTTATACTCTTTTGCAGGCAATTCAGATAAAGAGTAATATATCAAGGTTTTCTGGTTTTGTGTGGCATGACAATGAGGTAATTATTGCTTTTCAATAATAGGGAATTGGTTGTCATAACATGCAACTATATCATACGTTATAATCATAGGTTTTGTTCATGGTAATTTCTTTTACTGATTTAATTCTTTTTGGTTTGAAGTTCTGTCTATCAAAGGTTCTAAAGTCAAAATTTTGTTACCGCAGGAAAAGCAAATGATTAAAGTAAAAGAAAAACTTGACAAGTGTAAGAAGGAGAAGTTATTGGAATTCTGTGATGTGCTTGATATAACAGTTAACAGGGCAACAATGAGGAAGGTGTTGATACAGTTAGACCTTGTTCATACATTTTTTATAAATACCATTTGACACTGCCCTATCATTGCTTATAAATTTCTACTTATGCAGGAAGATATTATTGCTAAGCTGATAGACTTTTTAGTTGCCCCTCATGCAACCACAACTGTGTTACTTGCAGAAAAAGAGAAGGTTTCCTTTATTTTATTTTTCAGTTTTTTCCGTTATGTTGTGGTAATTTCTTTGGTCATGATATTCATACTATTTATAATTTAATTACCATCATCAGCCCAGTAAAAGAAAAAAGCGCAAGCGTGTCGTAAAACAGGGTTCATCAACATCTGGGACAACTTCTAGACGTTCTGGGAAGGTAATATCTCACTTGTTTAACTGCAGGAATGTGATATGTGATTTAAGCAATGACCAATAATTTGTGTTTCAAAGTCAAGTTTTGATGTAGAATGAATATCATTGCTACATTCCTTTGGACTAATATGTTTATCTCCGTTTTACTTGTTTTGCACTCTGCTTTGCTACACTTTCTACCGCGGAATTGTTTTTGTCCAATTGAATGATTAGTTGTTCTTCTCATCCCATGACGCTAGGGGATAGTTTGATTCACTATAACGGGCAGCTCTAAAATTAGGTTTTTCTTTTTTGTTGCACCTCTCTATCACAAGTGGGTCTGATGGGAGAGGGGATACAAAATGTTTGGGATTGGGAGAGTGTTGCACAACCCTGAAGAAAATCTTGGTGTTTCTTTTCGGTTGCACTACCCTATCCTTGAGAGTATCTAAAGCTTCAACAAGTTTGTCAATTTGATGGCGTCGCAAGCAATACTGGTGATCCCACTCAAATTCCATGGACTAATGTAAACACATGTCTTGTGGGATCATACAATCCTACTAGTGTAATTGCAATCTTGACAACACTGGTCTTAGGTTCAAATCTCTGTTGCCTTCCAAAATATAGTTTGTATTGGGATGTGCTGGTGGTAGTACAACTGCACTATTACTTTTATTTTGTTGGTATGATTGGTGTCAGTAATTTGTATTATATAGCTTAGCATTTCAATTTAATCTACTCCTCTATTATTCAAAATATAGTATCAACATATGTGATGTGTGTAGTTTTAGTTTGTTAATATTGGGAGCTTCTAACTAGTTTTTGGTTTGCTCAACCTTTTGGCATGTCCTTTTCAGAGTCGAAAGAAAAACGAAGATTCTTCAGTTGTGGGGACAAAGAGTACTACTGACACAGAAGATGAGTCAGAGGAAGAAGTGGAAGATGAAGAAAATGAGGAGGATAATGAAAATGGTGTCGTTGACAAATCTGAGGATGATACATCAGAGAAATCTGAAAGTGAAGATAAAAATGATTCTGAGAGTGAATCTGAAGATATGAAAAAAAAGAAAAAAACTTCTAAAACATCATCCACGAAGAAAGAATCTGCTAAGAAAGGTAAAATTGAGAAAATTCCAGTTGCTGATAAATTTCGCTCACCCCCAAAAAGAACACCAAAGAAATCATGGTCCAACCTCTCAAAGTCTGATGATGATAGTGATGAAAGTCCAAAGGTTTCAAGGAAGAAGAAAAATGAGAAAGGAGGAAGCCAGAAGACATCAACACCAACTAAACCTGCCTCCAAAGAGAAAACTGGTAGATATCATTTGAAACAATGTTCTGATTTGATTGCCTGTTGTGTTATAGTAAAACGTAATTTTAAGCATTAACCATATAGTCAGGTATTGCTAGTCAGCACATTTATTTTTTTCATTTCCATTAGTTTAAATGTAAATGATTCTTTATTGAAAAACTGTCAATGATTTTGCTGTAATCATATTCAACCCATTTACATTGTAAAACATCTTTCTTTTGTATCAAGCAGAAAAGGTTTCCAGAGGAAAGGGCAAGAAGAAAGAGAAGTTGAGCCCCAGTGATAATCAGTTACGCGATGCAATATGTGAAATTCTTAAAGAAGTTGACTTCAATACGGTAAGATGTTGAAATAAATTTTACATAATTCAGCACTGTAATTTTTATGAATAATGCATAGCTTAAGCTAGTTGAATTCCAATCTTGTGTGAAGTTGAATGTCAGGCAGACAAAGTTGGCACGAGAACAAACTCAATGTAGAAGGGATGAGAATGTTGGTGGACATGTTAATGTAGTAGAGAAAAGGTTGGCTTAGCACCTATTGTGGAAAAAATGGTAGAAACTTGCATTAGGATTTAGAAGTCAATAGTTTGTTTTAAACATGATTTTTACAACAAAACATTATAGAATTGTTTGATTTGCTCCCAATAAAGAGAGTGGATTATATGAAGGGTTTCCCAATTACTAGGGGTAGAGGGAGATCAAGAGAAGTTAAAGGTGAAAAGATGAAGGATTTAGAAGTCAATAGTTTGTTTTAAACATGATTTTTACAACAAAACATTGTAGAATTGTTTGATTTGATCTATTTAACTGACTCCAGCTAGTGGGAAAAGGCTTTGTTGTTGTTTGTAGTACACACATAAAGCACTACAAAACTATGTTTGGGCTGCTTGTTTACCTTCAGAATGTAACTTTCTTGACTGATACTGTCAGAATCCTCCTTGAAACCTCAACAAAAACACCCTAGGCTAAGATATCTTTGCCTTTTCTCTGTCAAATGCTACTGGACTAATTAAGATATTTATTTACCTTTTCTCCAATTTATGTATGGATATGGCATGACCCAGTAATTGATAGTTGTCATGGACATAATCTGTCAAGTCATATAGGTGGATGATTGAAAGAGTGCAGTACTGCCTGATAGGATGGAATGTGGCTGCATTCCGTGTCCTTCGAATTGCAAGTGGAATTTGAAGAAATCTTAGACGTAATATTGAATATTGCAATAATGATGCTATTGCTAGAATGGATTTCTTTGTCATTTTTGCAGACCATTTATTGCTATAAAAAGACAGCGTATATAGCCATGATCAAGACAGTGTTAGTGTTGTATTTTAGTATCTGCCGAATATTTTTTTTTCTCTCTAAAGTTAAAAACTTTTTTTTTCCTCTTTTTTTGCAGGCTACATTTACTGACATTCTGAAGAAACTTGGTATGGATCCTTTTTACCCGTTTTTACTCAAACACGTAATTATAGTTATACTTTTCTAAATTGCAACTATGACGTAATGCTACTTTTGTGCATTTAAGAACAAGTTCTTCTTTTTAACCTATCTATTTCTGGATTTTGAATATTGAGTGACTTGTATTGTCCTCAAACAAGAAATTCACAGGAGTCTTTCCCTTGAAAGCTGTAGGATATTTAATTTTAAGGATGTGTATTTCTTTTATACAGTCTTATCATATACAAATATGAACATTTGTAGGAATTTGACGATATATGAAAATGAAAAACATTAGATCAGAACTCAAAATTAAGTGCCTAACTAAATTGTTCTTCACTTTTCAGCTAAACAATTTGATATGGATCTCGCCCCGAAAAAGGCATCTATAAAGCTCATGATTCAGGAAGAGCTGACAAAACTAGCTGCTGAAGCGGATGATGATGACAGAGAAGAGGATACAGAGAAAGATGAAGCCCTATCTACAGGCCAGAAGGTTGAAGCTTTGATTGATGAGTAGTCCTACCCTCTTGGTGATAGGTTTAGCTTTGTATACTAAAACCCCAGTTATGCATATGCTTCATCTGTACATTTTGTTGAGTCAAAGTGCTGTTGTAACTTATTCTGACCATCCATCCAATCTGAAAAGAACAATCCTGTATTTGTCAATTTAGGCTTTTGGTGTGCTGTAAGTGTGCACCTTCTTGTTTATACATCAACAGAATTTGTAGGGTTTTGTACTCTTCATGAATACTACTGACCAAAGCTACACTAGTCTCAAAAAGCTGCCCAGTTTAATAAATATTTTACCTTGTTCGTAACTAGGGTTACAGATGGTTGATAAAGTTTTTTTTTTGGTACGTCTGAATAACCATTTTTCATTGAAGTTATTTATTTCTTCCAAAAATGTTATGAAAAAAATCTATCTGGATAGACCCTTTACGCTTTTAATCTTGTTTTTTCTGCTACATCGTTCGTTATGGTTGTGTCATCTCACTTCACAGGATAATATCTGCAATACATGCAGTGCAGAGTGGTGATGGTGATCCAGTAGCTCTGATAAGTCTGTTAAAAGTACTGTGTTGAGTTGAAAACCGATTAATTGAAATTGATTTAGATAACGGGTCGGACAAAATAAAAGAAATTAATTGAATTTTTTAATCCAATCGGTTTTCATAAAAAGATAAATTAATCTATTATTACATTTTTTTAATAATTTATTAAAAATATAATATATATTATTTTTTTATTTTATATTATGTTAATTATTATTTATTTTATATTCTTATAATATATTTTATATTTATATCTTTTGATATAATTTACCGTAATTATAATAATAATTTGCATTATTTTTTATTTATTACATTATAAAAATAGTATTTTATGAAATTTAGTTAGATATTAATTGGATTTTAATTAAATCTTAAAATGTTAGGTAAAGTCGTTATGCTTAAGGTTAGATTCGGTTTACCAAATCTATAATCCAATTCAAATCTACTCAACTACAAGTGTGGGTTAACAGAGTTATAATTTTTTAACATATTTTAAATTTTATAAGATTAGGCTTAAATAAGTTTTAATTTCTCCATATATGATCTATTTTTATTTTGATTACTTAACAATTTTTTCTTCCAACTGGATGGTTAATAATTTATAAATTTTTTATTTGAGTTTTTGAAAAAAATTATTTATGGATATTTCATTTTTATTCCCTCAATTGAAGGAAGTAACTTCAGAGCCATAAACTGGATTTTTTTTAAATTATTAAATACTTAATTTGAAGAAAAATTACTTAAACACAAAAATAATCATATTTTAAAGACGTGAAACTTAGTTTAATCATAAAATTGTTTTAATTTATTTTAGACTCATAAAATTTTTATCTTGAAATATAATTTAAATGAATTTGTATAAAAAATTAGTATATTAAAATTAATCTTTCTAAAAGATAAAATAAAAAATATTATACTACAAAATATAAAACATATGAATTTAAATAAAATTAGTCTTTTAAAAATACATGTAATTATATAAATATAAATAAAATACACTACCGATATTTTAATTGTTAACGTTTTTCTCAAATAATTTTGTTTATGTCATTTTGTATATATTATATTTCTTTAGTGGGGATTAGGAAAATGTATCTAAACAAAGTTTTGATCCTCTTTTTCTATACAATAAAATTAGGGTTCCATTTACTTATCACGATTTTGTTCTTGTTACATTTTTTTTATTTTAGTCATCAAAATTTTAAAAAATATACATGTGATTCCATCATTGATTTTGCATATTTTTGTTTTTTTATTTGATCAAAACGAATCTTAAATATGATGTATTTATATAAAATATAATTAAAAAATTAATTAATTCAAATATAAAACTAAGAAATAAAGTATAAAAAAAGAATTAAACTAAAAATATAAATTTTCAAAGTATTCAAATTAAAGTCGTAGAAAATTACAGAATTTTTCAAAAACAGTCGAATAATTAATATATTTTTATTTCCTTTTATTTTTCTCAACTAATAAGTTTTCGACTATAATAAAAAACATCCATTAATTTTTAACCTTTTTGGTTTTGGTAGATTATTAATTTTAAACTGTTGCTGAGAAAATAATTAAATCTACTCATACTTAATAATTATTAATTTCTTAACATGTAATAATTAATAATTATTAATTTTGGATACAATGATACATGTAATACTCTAAGAAACACAGCACGGCATGCATGGCACAGGGAATTTCAAACAACAACCGTTGATCTGCACACGTACCCCACCAAAATCCCATCTGAGCCGTTGCATCCGAATTTCAGTGTAATTACATGACAATTTAACTGCTTTTAAAATCCACGTTTGAAGTCCGAACTATAAATTCTCCGAAACAGCCCCTCACACTCACATAGTTACTGTCAGTGGCAGAGAGAGAAAGACGTGCAATGTTTGAGTGAAGAAGCTCGGTTGTGTTTTCCTCTTCCGACCCCTGAATCTGTAAGCTTCTTCTTCTCTTTCAATTTCCCTTCTCAGGCGTCGCTTTAGGTTACAAAGTTTGCATCTTTATATTCTCCGGAGTCAATTGTCACATGGGGTGGTGGGCTTTGGGGGTGAGGGAATTTTAGGGCTTTTGAATTGAGGCAGGGAATTTTCTTAAGACTTTACTTCAATTTGAACATTCGGACTGTGTTTGGCATCGATGGTTCTTTCTGGGTGCAATTAAGAAAAAAAAATTGGTATTTTCAAGTTTCTCACCGTGGCTCCATACTGTGCTCCGGTGATAATTTTGTTTTTGAATTTCATGTATAGGGTCACACATTTGTTGGCGTGATATGATTTTCTCTGGATATGGTGCAAAATTAATATTCAAGGGTTAGTGTTTTTTTTTTATGTAGTAGTTTATATTAATTTCTCCTCCTCCTCCACTGGACTGACTGTGTTGAGTTTTTGTCATGTTGACTTTTTGTTTATAATCTGCATTCCTTTTTTGGTTATATGGGGGTGCTAATTTCATGGTTTCATTGTACTTGAGACGGGGTAAATGTATGTTTGGTTGCACTGTGGTTCTGTTGCAGTTATCAATGCTGAATGTCATTATTTTTGTGTAATTTTTATCATTTTTGAGAATTTATGAGTATAACTATGTAGTATAGATCACATAAACTATGCATGCAATTTAAAAATATCCAGCAATAGTTTTTTTAGGGATGGTGCTTAGGTTAGATGCCACTATCTAGGATTTAATACATTGCATGACAATATGGCTCGCAGCCTGCGACTACGCTGTCACAGCCATGACCACGAGAATCCCCTTGATGACTGTCTTGTAGGGTCCAACCACTGCTCTCTGTTCATTTAGCATGATATCAATTTTTAAATATTTCCCTTCTTGAAATTCCTTTCCATTTTTATTTTTTAATTTTCCTGCTTTATTTTCAGTTTGCTGTTCGAGTTTGTCATACCTATACTTAATGATGTTTTTTTAGTCTCCAGGTAGGCTTCAGTTGTGCATTTTAACAGAGTGTATAGCAGTTTGTGCTTAGGAAATAGTAATTTGTATATTTAGTTATTTACTGTAAATAAGATCAGTATGGGTGACGAAGAACTAGTAAATGAAGTTTCCAAGACCGATTCAAATGGAAAGAGCTTGCAGGAGAAAACTTTGGATGTAATTACCGAGAAAAAGGACTTGGAAACTGGTGGAGGAAAAGTCTTGGAGAACAATGGAATCAAGGAGAATATTATCAAAGAAAATAATGATAACAAAGCTGATGGTGTGGAAAAGGTAGAAGGGGACAGGAAAATTGTTGTTGTGGAAGAAGCAAAAGTGGATAAGAAAGAAGATGGGGTGATACAAGCAAAAGAGAATCAGAAAGATGGAGTTGAAGAAGCAAAAGAAGATAAGAAAGAAGATGGGCTCGAAAAAGTAAAAGAGAATAAGAAAGAAGATGGAGTGGAAGAAGTAAAAGAGAATAAGGAAGAAGATGGAGCGGAAGATATAAAAGAGGATAAGGATGTTGATGGTGCAAAAGTAAAGGAGGGTAAGGAAGTGCATGAGGTCAAAGAAGTCAAGGAGGATAAGGAAGTTGATGATGTGAAACAAGTAGTAGAAGATAAAAACGGTAATGACGTGAAAGATATGGGGGAGGATAAGAAAGCTGATCTTATTTCTGAGAATGAAAACATGGATGAAGACACTAAGGTTAAGGAAGTAACGGACGGTAAACAAGAAATTGAAGAAGTGAAAGCTGATGAACCAGAAGCGGAGGCTATGGAAGTAGAGGGTGGCATTAAGGAGAAGGAGGAGAGCGATGAAAAGGAGCAAATTGAAGTGGCAGTACAGGAAGATGAAGACAAGGATAAGGATAATATTGATAAATCAAAAGAAGAGAAGGCAGAAGATAGTAAGGGTAAAAAACGTGGCAGAGGGAAGAAGAATGGGGAGAAAGTGAAAGAGAAAAGAAAGGAACCAAAGAAAATTGAGCCAAGGACTCCTACTATTGATCGCCCTGTGCGGGAACGGAAATCCGTTGAGAGGTTGGTAGCATCAATTGATAAAGATGCAACCAAAGAATTTCACATTGAAAAGGTATTTGATTTCAGTTTCACATTTGAAATATTTACCATTAATTATGCATTTATTTTAACTTAATTTGTTTACAGCTTCTCTTTCAAAATGCAGGGTCGTGGTACACCTTTAAAAGATATACCAAATGGTATGGTGCTTTCCTTTTTGAATTCTTATTTGATTATGGTATTTTAATTCCATTCCGAATATACTCAAGCAGACAAAAGTTAATATAACGTGTAGTGTACTTGCACAAACATTTCACATTTTTGCTGGGTTGACAAAATCTTGATGAAAGTATATAATTTGAATATAACATATATCATCCAATAAATAGGCCACAAGTATGTTGTTTCTATACATTTCGAGTTGTAGTCTAGGATGTGCCATTTGTAAAGATGGTTAATAGAAGATTGTGATGTTGTAGGTGTATTCTGACCCTTCAATTCAATGATTATGTGAGCCGTGGATATGTGTTTAACTACATCTTCCCCCCAAAATATTGAGCCTCTCTCCCTGCATATTTGCATGAGTTGGTGGTCCAGACTTACTACATGTCATTACTTTGATTATGCTATTGGCAAAATCCACTAGCACATACTGATTTGGTGGTTTTGTGAACTTTAATCCATATATAAAATAGTTAATTTTTCCCTGCCTTCTTTTCCTACTAACAGGGAAAAATATTTATGTATTTGTATTGCTTTTCCCTCTCACTCTTCTTTTAATGACAATAATAATGACTCAAACTTGGAATTATATTAGCCCCTCCCTTTCACTCATAATGGAAAATTGTATTTTTAGATAATTATAGTTTATTCATGTTTTTTAATGTCCTTTTACTAATCTATGTATGGAATCTTTAGCACTCAAGAGCAGAACATAATGGAGTATCAAATTGACCATAATTTATTAGTTATAGGAAAAGGTTCATGGAACATATGAATAAAGTTAACCTGGTATATGGGGGACATATTAATTTTTTTTTCTTATACATTTGTTATGCCGTGAAATCAGCGTACATTTTTTGCTTCTTCTGAACAGATAGTAACTCTTATGACTCTTGCATTTATTTTCTTTAGTGGCTTTTAAGTTGTCTAGAAGGAAAACTGATGATACCTTCAAATTGCTCCACACAATTCTCTTTGGAAGAAGAGGGAAGGTATGCCTTATTCATTAACCATCTGTGTTTTCTGTTACCGGATTTACTCCACTTATGACTTTTTATAATTTATATATAGTTTTTGTATTATTCGACCACTATATTTCAGGATATGCAATAGTGCTTGCCTAGATTGTTAAAAAGTTAATCAATCAAAGCTTAACTGGTGTTAAAATGTCTGCCTAATATTATTATACTTTAATTTGAGTCTTTTTTTAAAACAGGCAATTCAGATCAAGAGTAACATATCAAGGTTTTCTGGTTTCGTGTGGCGTGATAACGAGGTAATTATTACCATTATATAATAAAAAAACTTGGTTCTCCTAACAACTATTTCATACATTACAGTATAGAGTTTTGTTTATATTAACTTCTTTATTGCTTTCTTGCTTTTCTGATAGAAGTCCTTTCCAAAGGTTCTTAAAGTCCAAATATTGTTTATGCAGGAAAAACAAATGATTAAAGTAAAAGAAAAACTTGACAAGTGTAATAAAGAGAAGTTACTGGAATTCTGTGATTTGCTTGACTTAACAATTGCCAGGGCAACAACAAGGAAGGTGTGTTTGTTAGGAATTAGTGATGCATTTTTACTAATACCATTTAACACAGATTTATCATAATTGCTTATAAATTTGTACTTATGCAGGAAGATGTTATTGCTTCGCTGATAGACTTTTTAGGTGCCCCTCATGCAACCACCACCGAGTTACTTGCAGAAAAAGACAAGGTTTTCATTTTTTTTTGGTATTTTAATTTTTTTCCATTATGTTGTATAATCTCTTTTTAACTAGGCAACAATGTTCTGATCACAATATTCATGCTATCCATGATTTAATTATTATCAGCCCAAGAAGGGGAAAAAGCGGAAGCGTGACGTAAAACAGGGTTCATCAAGATCTGGGACAAGGTCTAGGCGTTCTGCAAAGGTAATATCTCACTCCTTTAACTGCAGGAATGTGAAATAAATTTATGCAATGAACTATAGTTTGTGTTTCAAAGTCAAGTGTTGCAGTAGACTGAATATCAGTGCTGCATTTTTTTGAGCTAGCACGTTTATCTGACTTAGTTGTTGTTATTCCATGACTCTAAGTGTGCGTGTGATTCACTAAATTAATTGAAGGAAAACACTAAAATACTTGTTTCTAGTTTGATCCTGAATGATTCCATGATTAGCTACCATGGGGTCATTATAACCACTTCCTAAAATCGCGAAGTCATGGGAATTTGCAATTTTAACCAGATGCTGAAGCTGGTCTGATTTTATATGCAAGCCCTTCTCTTCAACCAAACCTATCCCAGCAATCTGGATGCTTCTTGGTCACCCCTCCATTTGTGTTGTCGCTGGTAGTTGTATAGTAGAGTTTATATGTTATTTTTTGACTGTATAAGTGAGTTTTATAAGGTTTGTAAGATACCTGTGTTATGATTCCATGATTTACAATCTTGTGTATCCCCTTCTCAATCCTGAATAGAATCTCAGTTTGACTATCTTGGTAATATACTGTTATATATTATTATATTATTAATGTCTCAATCTATTTTTTGTATTTGATAATGATAATGAAATTAAAAAAAATAAAAAAAAGAAAGAGAAGATAATGGGACTGAGAAGCTACTCCATTAATTTCAAACGAAGGCCCCCTAAAGAAGACCAATTCATGGGTATCAGAAACCCCAGAGAAGAATAGCAAGTGTTACAGTGTGAGAGGATTAGAGAGTAAAGTATCCTGTTCAAAAAGGGAATAGAGTGTTAGTGACAAAGATCCAAAGAGGCTGAACCGTTGATGAGATGTTGGAGAGAAAAAGGAGATAGAGTGGTTTGTAGAGGCTGAGGCAACTGAGATTAGGGATTCAGGTTCTGAAATGAATGATTGTAGATCAAGTGAGATTGGCTTAGAGCAGAGAGTGGGTTTGAACTTGAATAAGTTTACTGATTTGATGGTCTCACAAGAAATCCTGGTGATCCTAGGTGTAAACAAGAATGGAAGAAGCTAGAATGTTCAAGGATCATACTATCCTATTATAATTGTGATTGTGACAAAACTGGTGGTACTACTACACTAGTACTTGATTGTTTGTTGGTATAATTTGGTATCAGTTGTGTGTATTATATAGCATTTCATGTTAATCAAATTTCATGTTACTCACAATATTGCATCAACATAAGTGATATGTGCAGTTTTAGTTTTTTTTTACTGGTGGCTTCTTTTTTATTTGGTTTTAGCTTTTGCTCAACTTTTTGGCATGCATTTTTCAGAGTCTGAAGAAAAATGAAGATTCTTCAGTAGTGCAGAGAAAGAGTACAACTGACACAGAAGAAGAGTCAGAGGAAGACGAGAAAGATTATGAAAATGAGGAGGAAAATGAAAATGGTGTTCCTGACAAATCTGAGGATGAAACACCAGAGAAATCTGAAAGCGAAGACAAAAGTGATTCTGGGAGTGAATCTGAAGATATGAAAGAAAAGAAAAAACCATTTAAAACGACATCTGCAAAGAAGGAATCTGCTAAGAAAAGTAAAGTTGAGAAAGTTTCAGTTGCCAATAAATCTCGCTCACCACCAAAAAGAGCACCTAAGAAACCTTTGTCCAACATCTCGAATTCTGAGGATGACAGTGAAGAAAGTCCAATTCCAAAGGTCTTCTCAAGGAAGAAAAAAAATGAGAAAGGAGGAAAGCAGAAGACTGATGATGATAGCAATGAAAGCCCAAATCCAAAGGTTTTCTCGAGGAAGAAGACCAATGAGAAAAGAGAAGTGCAGAAGAGGTCAACACCTACTAAGTCTGCCTCCAAAGAGAAAAATGGTAGATATCCAGTTCTCCTTTGCTATCGTCATTGTTTCATTTGGAAATGTTATGATTTGAAGGCATGCTTTGTTGTAACAAAAAATAAATTTTAGCTGAAATGAAACCAAATATTCAAGTATTGCACGTCAACTTCATCCTGTTAACATTAGAAAACGTCTTTTTGTTGTATCAAGCAGAAGAGTTTACTAGAGGAAAGGGCAAGAAAAAAGAGAAGTCTAGCCCCAGCAATTCCCAGTTACGTGATGCAATATGTGAAATTCTTAAAGAAGTGGACTTCAATACGGTAAGATGTTGGAAGAAACTTTACTTAACTCTGTCTAGTTGCATTTTTATGTTTAATACATAGCTAAAACTTGTGGTACTGCAATCTTGTATAAAATAAACTGTGAAGTAGATATGAGAATGTTGCACTGGATTTGTGGACATACTAGATGTGATAGGGTTAGGAGTGATTGCATTAGAGAAAAAAAAACGTTGAGGTAGCACCTATTGTAGAGAAAATGGTACAATCTCGCATTAGGTGGTTTTGGCATGTGGTAAGAAGACTTGTTGAAGCTCTAATAAAGAGAGTAGATCAGATGGAGGGGTTGAGGGAGATCATACTATAGATGAACGATTAAGAAGGGTTTAAAGTCAATAATCTGTTTATATACATGATTTACAACACAACATTGCAGCATCGTTTGATCTAAGTAAAGACTGTTATTTGTAATACATAAATAAAGCACTGAAAAACTATTTTTAAGCTTCTTGTTCTACTTCATAATGTATCTTAACTGAGATATGGTCAAAATCCTCCTTGAAAGCTTTACCCATAACCCTCGGTCAAAATCCTTCTTGTCCTACCTTTTCAACCAATATAGTATGGTATAAGCATGACCAGTAATGGATGCTTTAGTCATTTACATAATCTGTTAAGTCGTTGAGACAGATGATTAGACATGTGCACAGTACATGCCTGGCAGACTGGAATGTGGCCCTGGCAGAAAATTTGTTACATATCAAACCTTGTAGTATTTTTTGCATTTATACAAGTCTTCAATATTCCAATTGAAATTTATAGAATTGTTAGATGTAATTTGAATATTTCATTTATGTTGTCGTTGCTGGAATGGACTACTTTATCATTGTTGCAGGCAATCTTATACCCATAAAAGAGATAGTGTCTGTGTTCATTAACCAGGCAATGTCAATGTTGTATTTGGTATCTACTGAATATTCTCTCTTTTCTTAAACTAAACCCCTTATTCACTTTTGCAGGCCACTTTTACTGACATTCTGAAGCAACTTGGTATGCACTATAGATCCTTTTTAGTTTTTTTCTTACTCAAATACTTAATTATGGTTAAACTTTTTTCAATTGCAACTATGAGATTGTGGTACTGTACTGTCGTGCCTCTAAGAACAAGTTCTTTTTTATATATCTGTTTCTAATTTTTGAATTATCAAGTTATTTGTATAATTGTCGAAACTAAACGAAATAATTCACAGGAGCTCTTTTCCTTCTTTGATCTAGGATATTTAATTTTAACCATAATTTGACTAACATAGTCTTATATCATTTTCTAATTTACTATTTACAAATAAAAATGAAGTGCAACAAAATTGCTCATCTTTTTCAGCTAAGCAATATGACATGGATCTCGCCCCAAGAAAGGCATCTATAAAGCTCATGATTCAGGAAGAGCTGACTAAATTAGCTGATGAGGCAGATGACGAAGACGGGAAAGAGGTTGCTGGGAAAGATAAAACCCCAACATCAGGCAAGAAGGTTAAAGCCTAATTGAGGAGTAGACTTAACTGCTTGGAGATAGGTTTAGCAATGTATACTATAACCTAGTTATGCATGCTTCATCTGTACACTTTGATGGGTGGAAGTGGCTGTAACTTATTCTTAACATCCATCCAATCTTTAAGTAAACAAACTTGTATTTTGTCAATTTAGGCTTTTGGTGGGCTGCCAGTGTGCAGCTTCTTGTTTACACCAACAGAATTTGTAGGTTTATATATTGTCCAGGAAGGAATACAACTGACCAAACTACACCAGTCACAACAATCTGTCTAGCTTAATAAATATTTGACCTCTGAAGTTCTCATCCATGTATGTGATAACTAGTACCATTGTTGGTGGATGAAGTCTTTATCTTTCAAATCTCAAGACTTTTTTGCTCCATCATTTATGTCATGGATGTATCATCTGGTGTGACAATCAGACTCCACTAGCAGTAGATGCAGTGCGTAGTAGTGATAGTCACCATTTCTCATGTGTTTTGCAATAGCTCCAATATTCATGTCCTATGTTTACAATTTCACCATAATGAAACCCGAATTTGTCCGTGAGCAATGCAAGGTGATACATACTATGGACCAATATGATTTACATTTGTAAATTGTAGTGACTAGGGTGGGACTTTCATATACTTAAATTAATCTGTCTATTGTCAATTTTCAATGAATTTAATAGATAACTCCAATTTCATATCAACCCTATTTTGGCAAGTTGTGTTTAGTTCTTTCGAACATGTATGCCTCTGCTATTGTTGCTTGAAAAAGGTTGATTGCTGAATGAGAGGTGACTGTTAGTAGTGAACGTTGAAGAACACACTCAATGAATAATGTATTTGTTCAGGTCACACGTAATTGTTGGAGGGCATTACTTGAAATGTAAGTGGAGCAAATAAAAAAGGTTTCTGGATAGAATTCTTCTCCACTAGGACTAGTAGACCAAGAAAATGTAATTATAGAGATGAACATGATTTTGATCAATATTTAAGGTGTCTAGTTGATTAAGTGGGGACATTTAGAAGGAGAATTTATAAAACCCATTTGATGCATTAAAGATAAGATGGTTGAACATAAAATATCATCCACACTTCACCGTACAATTTCAATCATTCTTATTTGAAAATCATTTAGAATCATATATGTACAGGAAGAAATGTTATAATAAAAATGGTTTTTATTTTATTTTTTTTTGTAAAAAAGAAATTCTCCTGTTTTCAATGTTTTGCTCGTTTCAGGATCGCTTGGTTTAGATTGAAATTGATTTTACAATAGCTTGCTTTAAAAGAGTATATTTTCGTTCATCGATATACACATTTCAAAAGTTAACTGACCTAAAATTTGTTGCTTGAAAACTAAAAGATTTGATTTTTAGAATTACTCAAAATTACGATGACAATTCCAAGAAAAAGGGATAATGTAAATATAAACCGCACGTGATCTATATTATTATACGAAGGAACTCTCTTTTTTAAAAAAAAATCGTGTCATTTTTAATAAGATTATTTTATTTTTTTATCAGCTAAAAATAATTAATTATTTAATTAAAAATAAATTAACAATATACCAAGTAATCATCCACATCATTTAAAATAATCGTATAATGTTTATATATCCGAATAATTGAAAAGTTATTTTCTCTCACACCGCTTATTTTTTTTAAAATAGTCATTCAGCATATAATATAATTTAGTTAAATTTTTAAAATAATAATATATATTTCACATCATTTATACCGTTAGTTTATCAAATCCAGTCAAATATTTTTTGTTTCAAAATTTATTTTAACTAGAACTCATGTTCGTTACGATAGTATTGAGGTATTGTCCGTTTTATAACTTTCGTCAATCACGCTTTTATTCTTAAAAGGCGTCTCGGTGGGTTAAAAGAAGAGGGTAATTTAAAATATTCTCATGTCTGAGGTATTGCGATTAAGGATCGAGAGCGTCCCCTAAACGATGTGATACTCATGAATCTACCGGAACATAAGTCTCCTAGTCGAGAAATCTAGAACATAAGTCTTCGATGAGTTAAGAGAGAAAGGTAATTTAAATTATTCCCATGTCCGAGCCGACCTTATGTCCGCATAAGCCTCTAGTCGAGAGATCAAGAATGTCCTGACCTCATATTCGTTATAATAACATCGTTAAGATCAATTCTTACGTCCAAATTATTATCCACTTTGAATTTCTCATTTGTCACCATTATGGTTTTGTCTTTAAAAAAACATCTTAGTGGGTTAAGATAGGAAGAAGTATTTAAATTATCTTTGGTTTTAATCCTTTAGTGATAGGAAGACTTATGAGTATATTAAAATATAAGTCCTGTCATCGAAGATGAATGAATATGTATGTACGTCCTAGTGAATGAATATGATATATATATATATATATATATATATATATATATATATATATATATATATATATATATATATATAAGTGAAATAAGCCACTGTTCTTAGTTATATGTAGACGTCAATATTTTAATTAAGAATCGAGATTCTCTGGATCTCGATCTCATGTATGCTACCATAATATTATTTAGATCAATTCTTATATTTTAAATATTATCTGATTTAAAGTTATCGTGTATCAAGTTTATCCTAAACTTCCCATAACCTCAGTTCCTAAACAACGCGCGAATCATTAGTGTACGAAACAGGATTGGTACACAACATCATCGGTAAGAATCAGTACAACAATGTCATCGAAAAAAAAAATGATGAGGGTTCATGGCTTTATTCAAAAATCGTGATTAGGGTTTGTGTACCAAGTTCAAAAAGCGTGACTAGGGTTCGTGTTGGTTACAATGTATCACTCCAAGAAACAGCGATTAAGTGTATGAACTTAAACCACGGTCTCGAAGATTAGCGGTACGTAAGATACTATACTTTACTGTTCAGTATTCCGTGTTTTTTTTTTTAAAATGGCATGTATTTAACAACCTTCATGGCTCTGTATCCTGATTTGTTTAATGTTTATGTTTTGCGTTTTGGTATTTGTCGAATTGGGTTAGGGTTTAGGGTTCCACCATGTGCTTCTTGTTTGGTTGTGGTCTCTGATGGCAGATGTTTTTTCCTTTCTCTTTCTGTTTTTGTAGCTCAGTGGTCTTGGTGGATTTTAGTCTCCACTATTTGATTGAGTACACTTTTGGTTTGATTTTGTTTGACCCCGAATTCGCTCTAGTTACGTGAGAAGGAGTAATGAAGGGTTTTGAAATGAAGCAAATAGTCCAATCAAATCCAAGTAGAATAGCTCTTTTCTTGTTGAATTAGGATACAATTGTAAATAATGTTAAACTATTGTGATTCCAAACCTCAAATATAAAGACTCAAAATTTTGATGTAGTTAATCAAATGCAAGTTGTATTGCTTCTCCTAAATATGTTCAAATCGTTTTGTAACTTTTTCAATATTTTCACCATTTCAAGTAGATCCTAGGTAGAAAGAATCTATGAGTTACTTTATAGGAGACTATATATATATATATATAGTCATGTGACTTGTTTTATTTTCCTTGTTTTAAGTTAGGAGAGTCATATGTTTGGTATTATGAAAAAGTTGCTTTAAGAAAACCAAAGAGAAAAAGAAAAGTGATGGATCACTCCACCTCACATCATGGAGATTAGAAAATTAAAAGATGGTCTAAAGTCGGTGACCCACTTAGCAACTCTAATGATGTTTATGGTGGTGTTGTTGGCACCATTCAAGTTCCTTATTTGCCAAGTTACAATACATGTGACCACTTACTCTAACTACACCCTCCAATTTAAACACTTCAAAGCCACACTTCTCAATCAATTTCTCCATCAATTTTAACTATCATAGAATAGAATGCTTATTCTTTAATTCTAAAAAGGTAATTTTCTGAGATGAATTTTTACCTTGTTTATATATATTTAATCAAAAATTTTATATATTTCTCATAAATAAGATGTGAGTGAGTAATCTTTAATTTCAATGCATGAGAATATAAATAATCTAATATCAATTTAAAGATAGTGATAAAATAATCATAATTTCAATGAATGACGCATTTTTTTTTGTTTAACTATCATCATCATGTTTCAAAACTTTATAATCTAGTTTTCTTCACATTTTTGTTGATTGAATAATGGTTTCTTATAACATGGACAAAAAAGTTTTAGACAATTACAAAAGTTAACTTTATTGTATAAAAAAATCCTGATTTTTTAACATATACGGGATTGATAAAAAAATATGACGATATAATTCATAATAATTAAATAATAATAATATATGTCATTCGGTTATTTTTAACTTAACAAAGTAATTAAAATGAATAAAAAATTAGAAATTAAAAATCCTATATGTTAATATGAAAAATATTCGTATATAAAAAGAAGGGAGAGATTTATTTACTAAAAGACTAATTCTTTCCCGTTAAAGTTTTTTTTTTTCCAATCTAATAATTTAAAATAAGAATTTTTTTTTAAAATTTGCTTACAATATAATAGTAAGATAAAAAAGATCTCTAATTTTTATTCTGGAAAAAATATCTCTTGTTATATATATATATATATATATGTAAAGAAACTTGTATAAAATTATTGTAAAAAACAATATCTTTTTTGTGAAGTAGTGTGGAAGATATTTTGTTTAGTAAAAGCAGAAGTTGGTGTTATGAAAAGTCCAAAATAATGAAAAATGGTCCTACATTTCCCTCTAGCCAAGCCACTAGGCCATTAGTTTGTCCATCAAATCTTCCTTGTAAGTTGTACCTCCAATATTCTCATTCTTCACTAATATCATATAATCCATGCTAATGAAACTTTAATTCTTCTTAGATGATTAATATCTTACTCTAAAAATGTATCAAAGTAAATGATGATGGAAAAGTATGATTGGATTGGATTGGATCTTAAAGCCAGACCAACACATCAAATCAACCTCCCTTTAATTTTGGTGAAGAAGTGGAAAGCCTCCATTGATGAAAAGAGTGGTATTAAGAGAAGCTTCCAAGTCAAAATCAATGACACCAATGAAGAGGGAAGATTCTAAACAAATTGCCTTCACTGTTAGGCAAGCCATCAAAGCCTCTCTTCCATCCCTCTTTAGATATTTTCATTTTTCACATTTCAATCCACCAAATCAACACTTCTTTCTCAAAGATCTGCCACAACAATTCCTAACAAATTGGTCCACCCAATTATCATAGGTTGACTCTACATTTCATAATTCACTTATTCAACTTTATATTTGTTTTTTTATGTGATATAAATATAATTGTTATGAAAAAGAAAAAGTTGTTTTCTTTTTAATTAGGTATGTATTAAAATGCTTATAATTCTGGAAGAAGTATGCATCACTTTATATGGAATGTAAGTGTGTAAGTTTAAAACCTAACAGGAATCAATAAGCAAACACTATTTACAAAGACATTCAAATTCCGTTGTCTTCACTTTGGAAAAACCACAGCCACAAACTTGAAATAAATATCATGAGTGTGATAAAATATTTGGTCATCAAAGACAAAAGTTTTATAAATTAAATTAATATTTATTTGTTATTATATTAAAAAGAATTCATGCAAGTGGGGTTGATGTGTGTCACATGTTAGTAGCTTTTTCCTCCAACGTTTACCATCCTTTTTATTTTTTATGTATGTTTATTTAATTTTAACTTTTTCCACCTCAATATAAAAATCCAGTAATGTTGTGGTAAAAGTTTCATAAACAGTATTCCAAATGATATTTTTTTTTAATCAATCAATAAAAAATCGATTAGGAACGAAGAAGAAAAAACTATATATTTACAAGGGAATTTTAAACATTTTTTTTTATAAATTTCACGAAATTCATTTCATATTATTTAGCATTTCCCATTAAAGTTCTGACAATTCATTTCATTTAGTTTTAGTAAAAAACATTTTCTTATATATTTTTAACAAGACTATATTACATACTCTCAAGTTTTGAATAAAATAAGCCAAACTTTGATTATACATTTTTATTTTATATTTTTCAATAAATCAATTCATGATATATATATATATATAAGTACATCTTTAAATGTTATTATTTAAACAAAAAAACAATACATACAATTTTCCTTCAACAAAAATATTTCTAAAGGCTTTTTGTCAATATATTAATTTATTTTTTTATGAAGTAAACTAAATATATTTAAAAATTGTTAATAATTTAAATCATAAATTAAAAAAAATTTAATAACGTTTATTTTTTACAAATTTTAATTATAAATAAATATATACTTTTTATATTGTTAAAATTAAAATATTATTTTTTGTAGTTATGAATAATAAATTTAAATAAAATAGCCAAACTGTATTTTAAATTCTAAGCTTAACTGTTTTTACTTATTATCATTTTTTACATATTTGAAAAAAATTATTAATTACAATCTTTTGCTGTAAAAATAAATATTTATTTTATACAAAGTGAAACCTAAAATACTAATTCATCACAATTATAATTTAAAAATTGAACAAATTTTAGGAATTTAAATAAAATTCTAAGTATAATTATCCTCATTCAACATAAATATTAAAAATTATTTCATTGAATTTTTTTAGTAGAAGTATAAACATAAATTTAAATAATTTTAATGTTTCATGTGTCTGTAATGAATTTTTTACTTTTAAACATTTTTCTTCTTATTATTATATAATAGAAGAATGAGGGTTATAAATTTAATTTTAATTTTTATTATTATTTTTTTATTTAATAATGAAAATAAATCACTAAATTATTATTATAGAAAAATAAAATATGAAAATAAAAAATGCATTTTAAACTCTCAACAAGTGTATGTCAATGCATTTTAATCTAATAAAATGTTATTTGTAATTATTTTATATAAAAAAATTGAAAAAACTAGATTTTGTTGATCTAATATATATATATATAAAAGAAAAAATTTGGGATTTGAATGTAATAGTCCAAGAGCACGTGCCAGATACCAAACCAACGGTCCAGATGATGGAGCACTCACCGAATCCAAGGGCTCCAATTCGTCCCTGTGAACTCACACTTATCGACTAACAACGGTCGACAGCGTGCCACGTGTCCTCGAGATAAAGTGTTATTAACCCTTCTGATCCAACGGACCCTGCTCACTAACTCCCAAACAAACCCATCCGTTCCGTTTCACCTTTCCCCTTCCCGCATCCGTCGTCGCCCGCCGCCGGCCACCGTGTCCGACTCTGACACTACACTGACTTCGACGTTCACACAAAATTATACGATCCAGGAATTTCGTTTCTTGAAAATTTAGTTTTAACAGCGCTTCAATTTAACGCAGTACTGCCGAGTTCGTGTCTCGGATTAGTAACTTCTCGCTCATTCCGAATCAATTTTGACACACCAAAGGAAAATTCACAAACTCTCAGTTCCCAAGGAGCTTCTTCTACGAAGAGTGCTTCAGTTCCACGCAGAACAGAAGCCAAATCGATTCGTGACTCGGATTTTCAACAACTCGTTCATTCCGGAAACTAATTTGAAATTCAAAGGTAAACCGCACCAAGCACTGAATTTCAGATTCTGAACAAGTTTCTCCTGCGAGCAGCACTTCAATTTCACGTGTAACAGAGTCAAAGGGATTCGTGGTTTGGATTCTCAATTCAAATCCATTCCCAATTGACTTTGAAATCCTGAAGAAAACAACACGGAGGACTGAATTTCATATTCCGAAGGCGAACAGTACTTCAGTTTCAAGTGGAGCGAGTCAAAGCGATTCATATTGAGTCCGCGAACTCGTCCACAGTGAGTTCGTGCTTCGTTTCATCTTTCTCAGCGAGTTTTCGAACTTCTCCGTTCATCGATGGCGGACTCCGACAACGACTCTGGCGGCACGCACAACGCCGGCAAGGGCAGCGAGATGTCGCCGCGGGAGCAGGACCGGTTTCTGCCGATCGCGAACGTGAGTCGCATCATGAAGAAGGCGCTTCCAGCGAACGCGAAGATTTCGAAGGACGCAAAGGAGACGGTGCAAGAGTGCGTATCGGAGTTCATCAGCTTCATAACAGGCGAGGCCTCCGACAAGTGCCAGCGCGAGAAGCGAAAGACAATCAACGGCGACGATCTTCTGTGGGCGATGACGACTCTCGGCTTCGAGGATTACGTGGAGCCTCTGAAGGTCTATCTGCAGCGCTTCCGAGAAATGGAAGGAGAGAAGACCGTGGCGGCGCGTGACAAGGACGCGCCTCCTGCTTCCAATGCTACCAACAGTGCCTACGAGAGTGGTAGTTATGGTGCTGGTGGAATCATGATGCATCAAGGACACGTGTACGGTTCTGGTGGGTTCCATCAAATGGCTGGCGGTGGTGCTACCATTAAGGGTGGGCCTGCATATCCTGGGCCTGGGTCCAATGCTAGTCGGCCGAGATAGTTATATGTATGCCTCGTGGCCCGTTTTATTTTGTTTTCCTATTTAAAAAAAAAAACTCGATTTTTAGTGGTGATTAGTGAAATTAATAATAATAATAATAATAGGTTTGTATTCTGGTGATATAATTTATGATTGTATGGCATTATGTATAATATGACAGTCTTCTAAGTTCTGATGCCATCAATCTGTGACTCATTTCTTTGTTGTATGAATAGACTTATTGTTTCTTAGTATTCTACTCAACTTTTCCTCTTTCGCTATGTACTTTCATTTAAACCCTTTAGTCTGTGATAAAAAGGAAATTATGCAATGTTTGGTACATTGGTGTTTGTTTGTTCATAAATTATGCCCTGCTTTTAATTTTAATCACTTTTATTATTACAAAATTATTAAATATATTATAATAAAATAATTATTAAATCAAGAAACATATTATAAAATTATCTCATATTTTTAATTTTCATTTTTTTATATGTTTTTATATTTAATTTATTAGATTATAAAAAATATAATTTAATTACAATAAATTATAATTTTGGAGTTTTTATGTTATATTTTTATTAATTATTTTTCTTTTATTTTTGTATTAGTAATTATCAAAGATAAAGATGGTAATGTTTTTTGTAATATTTTTTTTATCAAATATCCTTAGGGTTAATTGTCTGTAATCAAATAATTATTCATTTTAAAATTTTAATTTATGTATTTAAAATATTATCTTTTTTAAAATTCTGTTATCATTTTATTTTTAAAAAATGTCTTAATAAATAAAAAAAGAGGATATATATACATTTGTTCCTTTGCCCTTTCTGCGTGTGTTTTGATGCATTATCTGGACGCAAGAATAAAGCCATTGTTTGTGATCATAATAAACCTTTCCCACTTCTTTCGTATCTGAATTTATTCCTTAACAGTGAATACCTGCAAAATCAACAAATTATCGTTGCACCTATCATTCATCTAAAGTTGAGTAAATGTTTTTTTAATTTAAATTAGTATAAACATTTCGTCACTTTCCATTCCATTGTTATATGCATGTTGGATTTTTAATCCAATTATATATACTATGTACAGTTATACCAAATTAAAAGTTATCAAATATGTTCTAAATTATATTGGGTAATTAATTGTGTGAATAAAAAGATATGCAACAATGGTAATTAAAAAGATTATTTTATTTTGTGTTGGATAAAAATAAATATCAAGAGTTAATGTTATTTATTTATAAATAGGTTAAGTGGTTGAATCACTCAATATTTTTTTTATAATTTTTCTATATTATATATTTAAAATCACTTTTTTTTATGTCACATGAATTTTCAATACTTATTATGATTTCGGAACATTATGAATAGAGTTCAATATTTATGAAATATATAATACAAAATTTTCTATCCCTTTCATTAAATTTTTATTTGTATATACTCTTGAAAAGATGTGTATAAATACAACAAATCACTTACATGCACATTTTATATCACTAAATATCAACTCAATGGTTAAATATTCAAAAGGTAAATATCACATTTTATCAACTATAAGCATCGAGTTTTACTAATTAAGATATTGAATCATAACATACATCACACTATATTATATTAATTTAAAAGACGAAATATAAGCACCAAATTTTATTATAACTCGGAAATCAAACAACTACATTGATATATATTAATTTAAAAGATAAATATCACACTTTATCAAATATAAACGTCAAATTTCATCATAACTTAGGTTCAAAAACATCGATTTTATTAAGTGTAAATATAAAATTTGGGCATGAATTATGTTAAAAAGCAAAATAATCAGTGTTTCACAACATCAAGTTATATTAAAAAGGTATAAACAATCATATATATTACACATCTAGCAATACTAAAAAGCATAAAAAATATGTTCCACTAAAAATCAAACATAAGTAAAAGTTTAGTTGGCAAATTGAGTTTATCATTTTTTTTAATTTCAATATTTAAACCATTTTTTACTCGAACATGGTTCTTCTATAAATTCTCACTGTCAACATTTTATATTCAAATTAAGTTATTCACACAAGTTTCCCGAACTTAATTTTTATATTATGTGAAATCCATACATTGTAAACAATTTGGACAATTAGTTGATTTTTATCATTATTGATCTTGGTTCTTTAACTTGTTTCTATTATTGATCTTAAATTTTGTAAATTCTTACTCGTTAAATAACGTTATGTTTTAATACAACTCTTATAAAAGAAAAGACAATCGTTTATCATCTTGGGGTTTGTAAAGATCTCTTATCAAAAGATTTTAATATTATATCGAACAATAATTATTACTCATAAATAATAAAACATTGTGAGTAATATCTCCAACATAAAATATAAAAATAATTATAGCTATGCTTTTTCAAAATACTTGATCATATTATACAAGACTCTTTCATTCCCGTCAATATATCAATTAAAACAAATTGTTCATTTATCTTAACTTTCAAAATGTCATTTTCAAAGGCATGAAGATTAAAATCATTACTCACAAAAAGCTGAACAAAAAAAAGGAGAATTTCTAATAAGAACCTCATTGAACAGAAATGTAATAAGTTTTAGACGCGTGGTTGATATGCCCATGCATGATATGTAAACAGAACATACTTCGTTCTTACAACCATGCAAAGGAAATATTCAACCTCAGGAACAAGGGAAAGGGAAACAGAATAATATGATGAAGAACAGAGATAACCCAGCAATAAACGCATCGACTGAAAATGAATCAAATCAATCACACTGTATCGCTACTGCTACTTCCTTGGCCCAACAATAAAATAAAAGGCTGCTGCTGGAATTAAATAGGCAAATCTCCTTCCAAGTACTCAAACAATGCTAAAACCTAAACATATAATATAGTTAAATTCAATGAAGAAAAATCTTCTTGAGATAAAAGCTGGGCACTATTTATACACATTGGTATAAAGATTACACAAAAAGCATGTACATAGCAGATAGTATAACAAATAGAGGCGTTCACTGACCACTTTTAAACGGTCACAAGACACAATTTATATTTTGCAAGTAAAACATAGGCTTCAGTAAACGACTTTGAAGAGTTGAAAGAAAATATTTAACATGCAATCATATTCAAATTCTCTCTATCTCTCTAATATTCATTAAATGTACCCTATGAAATTCTATCATGAATAAAAAACGTAGTGTTGAACATGACCTCACACAAAAGGATTATTCCCAGGAACATCAATTTATATAGCACTTTCCAGAACTAGTTTAATGCATACATTTTTTGAAGATATATATACGAGGAATACTGGCAACTTTCTCATCAACATTCTTATTTGTAAAGTTATAAAAGCAACAATATAAATAAAAGCAACATTACAAATGAATCATTAAATAAGGAATGAAATGTACATAAAATTGTGATTTTAAACAATTTTTTAATCAATAGTAGAAAATATTAAAAGTGTTATTAGCATTCCTATGAGAAGTAAAAAACCTAGGCATCTTCTGTATTAAAAGCATTCAAAGTGGAGTCGTCCTCAATTGTTGGATTTCATTAGACTAGATAAACAAGACAAGGCCATAAAACAAAACTGGATATGGATTCGACCTTTATCAGTAAAGTTAATATCAATATATACATGAAAACATGTACAATTCCCCAGCTTTGAATGATTACAGTGAACAAATGGTTAGCTCTCTACATCATACACAATATTTGCATACTACACCGCTATGCTAGAAATATGAGGGATAAACAACAACAAAAAAGGTGGGGGAAAATGATACAACAGCCAGCCAAAAGGTGGGGGAAAATGATACAACAGCCAGCCAAAAGGTGGGTAAAAAAATGATACAACAGCCAGCCAATCGAAACAGCACATTATCAGCATCCTCTGCTAAATCCTAGTACATATTTCAAACAATAAGTTCTAAATAATCTGCCATATTTCAGACTTCAGCAAGTTAAACCCATTACATCAACATCGATGGTTTAATTAATCGTATGCTAATAACTGAAACATAAATTCAAATCAAAATCTAATACTTCATAGCAAAAGTTCCACTTCTCAATGTAAGAAAAGAATTGTCATGACTTGAATCCCCCAGCTTGATCGCCACCACAACCCAGAGTTTAAATGAACAGTTTCCTTTCTCAAAACAATTGTCCCTACACCAAACAGAGGGCATTAACAGAAAATACATAAAGCAGGTATAATTCACATAAAGAAAAAAAATAACCTCCGCAATTCAATTAAACAAGCAGACAGGTGTAAGATTGAGGATATAAAATATAAACCTCAGTGTCAAACATTTTAAACATTGGAAAACTGCAAACCAAAAGTTTTAGACCATAGAAATGCATATAACTTAAATAAAATTGTTTGAAATATTGACGTTATTATAATATCTAAAAAGTATTGACTAAGAAGGAGTGAATATTATATTAAATTATTTAAATAATATTTTATATGATTAATACGATTATATTTATTATTATTATTGTTTAGTTTATTATATTATACTGGAACTGTGCACATCTTATAAGTTACACAACCCGAATAAAAATATGATGTAGGACACAAATTGAGGCCCAAGGCCTAACAGATGAGAAATGAGAATACAAATGAAATAGTTGTGACAGAACACAAATGGAAGATCAACAACAGCAAATGGAGGCCATAGAGTGTTGGCTCTGCAGTTTTCAGTTGGATTTCATACCACAATGCTAGAAAACACCCCAGAGCACCGATTGTGGCTGCCCTGCTCCACTGCTATTGCAGCCGCTCCAACCACAACTCCAAAACTCAAAATGACAAATTTGTGTTGTGCCTCACCAATGCTCCACTGCAATGGCGGCCACTCCAGCCGCAATTGATAACATATTCCAATTATTAATCTTATAAGATATAACTGAAATTCTCCTTTATCTCTTTGTCCTTCCCTGCCTAAAACCATTATTCAAGTTTCAACAACATAAATTATTCAAGAACGGATCTATTTTATCAACTTCTCCATACCCTTATTAAAGATACTAGCTAAGCTAAGGCTAGGTGTTCATTAAGGGAAGAACTTATAAAACTATATCTCAAACAAATACTACGGCATAAGTGTTCAAAAATATAGTCTATTTAGGAAGTTAAGTGGTGTTCTCTGTAATTTAAATTTTGAGGGGAGAACTAGATCAAACAAACTCACAAAGTCATGCAATTACATATCACTTAAAGCTTCAATATTTATATATTTTATGTTCATCACAAAATCATAATTTCTTCCACTGAAACTGTGCAGCCAAACTAGTCATAATATATGGAATGGAACCATATAACTGCTTATTCACTGTATATATCACAAGGTTATGCAACCAACAAAATGGAAGGCAGGAGAGGGGATAATAACTGGACTGAACGGAACTGCCTGGGAAACTAGTTACTAGTATGCACACACAGAAGATAGAAAACCAGAATGAACTATATACATAGATAATTCTAGATAATAAACACCTTTAGTTTGCATAATTAGCCCAACAAGATAAAAAATATACAAATGAATAATCAACAAATGTAGTGTATAGCAGACAACATATACATCCAGAACCAGAGTCAACAACATGGTTCAAATGCAGAGAGGTATGAGAGCAATAGAGCCTCATACCAGCGACCACAGATGGGAACAAGATCCAAATGCATTTAGTGGAACTCAGGCAGAATTTCAGTCAAGGATAATTACTAGAATAAAGAAGTTCACACTTGATAATGGAAGAAAGGAAATTTGAAGTTCAAAAACATTTTTTTTATTAAGATACATAAAGACATTATTATTATTATTATTATAATAAGATAAAAAGGTATAAGGAGTTCTCCGAATAAAACAACAAAGCAGAACAAAAAGAAAAAGGAAATCACGTAGGAAACCCCGAAAAAAATATCTGAAGGGAGGAGAAGACTACCAAACTATCACTAAACATCCACAACAAAAGCGTAATGCAAGAAGAAAATAAACAATATCTTAATGATACTTAACATTAAGAATTTCTTATTTAACATTAAGTTACATATCGATAGGCTTCTCTTTTGTTGGATATAGTATAGTTCCACTGTGCCAGACCTTATACTTCTAGGTTCAGTAGTCTACTCTAGATTGTTGTCATATCATCTATGGTAAAATCTAAACCAAAGCTTACTATTAGTTCTAGATCAATGAAAAGTTTATGAAAACAAGCAAGCAAAGCAGAGGAATCTATAACTATACATGACAATGAGCATAGCAGTAAGCTCATATCAAAATCAAAAGAAAGCTAAGAATTGAAGTCTTAAACTAACCTTTCTCAAATATGAAAGAAAACCATGCTCCTAGAGGAAGCAATTAGAACAAGTGATCGAAGTAAAACAGCTGCTCAACAACTTCTAGATCCAAGAGAATTCAAGAAAATGGCAAATCCTGACTTTTAAGATAATATTTCACCTCCCTCGATGGAAAGCATTCAGAAAATATCAAGCAGCATGAAATTTATTCTGAAGTAAGCCGTCTCCTCTTCCCATAATCAGCATCTCTCGGCCTAGAGTGGTGTTCCTCCTCCTGTGATAACCGTGATTTGCTGTGAGTCCTTGATGACCGTCCCCTCTCCCACTCATCATCATGCTCTCCTTCCCCGTCCCTATACCTATGATGATCGCCATACCTGTCCCTATCTTCTCTGTGCCTGTCACGCTCTCGGTGATCCCTTTCACGATCACGATCACGGTCTCGGGATCTTTCACGATCTCGATCACGGGATCTTTCATGTTCACGGTCCCGAGATCGTTCTCGGCCCGTTTCTCTATCATCACGATGCCTTCTTTCAGACCACTCAGCATCATGGCCCATATCTTTCTCTCTAGGTGCATCTCTTTCATATCCTTGATCTCTATCGTCCCTATACCTTCTCTCAGAAGAACCAGACCAGTCCCTTTCTGAACCTCTATCTTTCTCCCTCATAGGCCACCCAGCTCTATCATGACTCACTTCACCATACTGATGGTCAGATGCAGCTTCCTCCCCATAACTTGACTCTCCAGCCTTCCCACCACCAGGCTCTTCACCACCCCATCCACCCATATTCGGATCTGACCACATTCCCATATTAGGACCATCCATGCCTGATGTTGGCATCATCCCCATACCATTAACTGGCATCCCTCTTCCGAAAAATGCAGGATTAACATGAGGTGCCACTCCAGGCAAACCAACACCTCCAACACCAGGGAATGAAGGTAGTATCCCAGAAAATGGAGGTGTTGGAGCACCAGGAAAACCTCCGTAGCTACCCATTCTACCCATTGGACCAACAAAAGCAGGATCAAAACCCTGATTCATCATTGACTGAGGATGCAACAGTGGAGGGGTACCACCAATACCCTGTCCAAAACCATTTCCACCATGACCCATTATACCTCTACCACCCATCCCACCACCCCTATTCCTCATTGCATTCACAGGCCCCCTATTCCCCATACCAGGATTATTCCCTCTTCCCCAGTTACCCCCTCTCCCATAACCTCTATTCCCATCTCCTCCTTGGTAATTACCATGTGTCGAAATATTACTCCCACCAGGCTTAGAGCCTCCATCAGCAGGCCCCCTCCTTCCCTGTTGTGTAACTGCAGATGGGTTCATCTGCTGATTCCTGTTTATCTGAGCCTCTCCCATTTTCTTAACTGTAAAAGGCGAGGCAAACGCAACAACACATGGCCTCCCGTTAAAAACATGACCATTCATTCCCTCCTTGCAACTTGTGGCAGCAGAAGGGTCAAAAAACTCAACTTGGCAATACCCCTTTGACTTCCCACTCGCCTTCTCATCGAAAAACTTCACCTCCTTAACAGGCCCATATTTACTAAGCTCAGTTTCTAGCTCAGCATCAGTAGTCCACCAATGCAAATCGCCCACAAACAAAATAGTACCACCAGAACCACCACCACCACCACCTCCTCCTCCAACTCCAACTCCTCCAGTAATAACACTATTAACAGCACCCACACTGTTTCCAACACCGTTTCCACCAACCCTATTAGCATTCCCTCCTCCACCACTACCACCAACTTGACCTTGTCTGACCATACCCTCATTTCCCACACTCCCAACAACACCAGCATGAGGTTGTTGTCCAATCCCCTGCACTGGAGCATCATCATTACCACCATGTTCCTCAATTTCACTCGATTTACCAGATTGGTGTCCTAATTCAACCCTAATCCCACTTTTGGCACCCACATCGTTCCCTCTAAACCCTTGATTCTGGAACCCGTCAACTCTTGCGGAAACCCTAGATTCCACAACCCCACTTCCAACACCGCCGCCACCCTCTCCACCGCCACCGACACCGGGAATCGAAACCCCGGCGGCATCTGGAACCGGTGGCGGCGGTAACGGCTTCTTGTCCTCGACATCTTCGTTACGAAACCCTGAATCGTCGTTTTTGCGCAAAGATTGAAGGAATCCTTCGCCGACGTTGACGTCGTTGTAAAGATCCTCATAATCGTCGTCTTCCTCGGCCATGAAACCATCGTCGGCGACGGCGGATATAGCTTCGTTACGGTGGAACTGATCCATGGGATCGCCGCTCTCACCGTACCCTCCCTCGCCTTCGTCCATTGTCGGGCCTCTTCCCTTCTCCAAATTAGGGTTTGCAGTGAGGAGTGAGACAAAAATTGGAGTACAAGCATGTGGGGATGAAAACGCAGCGTATAGAAGAAGAGAGAGAATGTGAGATGTTTTTAAGAACTAATGTAATCACAATGCATATAATTCTCTCATTTCATACAGGCGTACGAAAAACCTTTTAGACACGTACCTAACATGTTATATTTATACATATGCACCATTGAACCAACCAATAGTAAAATAACATGTGTCATGTTTCACACATTTATGATAAAATAACAACACGTATTGAATATAAGCTATAAAATTATTTTATTCTCATAAATATGTATATCTTTGAAGCAACTCATCATTTCTTATTATTAATCAATCGAATTAAATATGAATTGAGTCTATTATTAATCAATTTTGATAAAAAAAATCACTATCATTAACCTATACTAATCAATTATATAAATTATTAGTTAATTTGATTTACCCAAATTAATTAAGTAATTATTGAGTTAATCAAATTAAATATATCAATCCAAAAAATTTGTCAATTAAATTACTATCTCAAATGAGTTGATCATTCAATTAAATAGATTACTAAAATAATTTATTAGACTAAGTTAGTAGAATATATTATTGAAGTATTTCTATTAAGTAGATTACTCAAATAAATCAATTGAATATATCACTCAAATAGCAAATTGAATAGATTATTCAAGCATGTGAGTTGAGTTGAGGATCATACTAGTCAACTTAACCATGGAGTTGGGCATTAACTAGATTAGACAAACTAGTCTTCAAACAAGTTTAGTAAGATTAATTCGTCAACAAACAAATCAGATTAGACGATTTGGTGATTAGCAAATAACCTCATCTAGTCAATATTAATAACATTCAAGACTCAACCAAGTCCAAGATATGATTATTCAAATCATTCAAGATTCAAGCAAGTCCAAAATGATTCTTGAATACTAGATAGAATCTTAGAATACTAGAAATGGAGGTACAAGTTGATGAAGTAGTATTATGCATAAGTCTCAAAAGCACAAGTGTGATAAAATTTCATAACATGACATTTTTCACTGTCATAATCAATTATGATACATCAAAAATGGAAAAATGATTTTCTCTCTCTTATAATTGATTATACTCGGTAACATACTTGATTATGGCAGTTCATATTTGAAAAATATATCCGCTTTTGAAGAATAAATATTGTTGGATACATCTTGATTTTTCTCTACGAAATTATTAATGACCAATAACTATTTTTTTATGTTATTTTCCTATTTAAATAAGTTTTGATGAAAAATAAAAAATACACAATTATAAAATTCGAAAATACAATTTTATATTCATTCAGTTTTAAGAAAAGAATTCTGAGAAAGACAACAGAACACTTTTAGGTTTTCTGAGAAAACTTTTTCATATTGTCTTCTGCGCTTTCATTATTAATCACACTTGTTCTTGGAGGTTGGCATTCTACAAGCTTTTACAATTTATTGTCTCCATTACCCAGGTGTGGTTATTCTTATTTTATTACTTTCATCCTTTGTGGGCTTAAGTGGTTGATTGTTAAATTCCATGTTTAGGGTTTAAGTAGTCATTGTTATTCTGTTATATTTCTTTAGGTTTCTTGTGTGGAAATTGTTCATCCCTTTGATTTGTTTGGGGAGATATTCATCCCTAGTGTGATTCTAGGGAGGTGTTCATCCTTTGTGTGTTGGTGGCAAAGGAGGTGTTTTTTATCCTTTGATTTGTTCATAGGAGGTGTTCATCCCTAGTGGGATTCTAGGGTTGTGTTCATCCTTAGTAGGTTTCTAATGAGGTTATTGTCTTTTTAATTATTTTACTCTTCTCTGCTGAGTTGATTGTAATTTGTAAACTGAATTTGAAATATAGTGAATTGGGGTCACTCTCGTGTTAGAGGTAACTGAGAACTGGATGTAGGATTGACTATTCCCGAACCAATATAAATTATTGTGTGCTCTTATCTTCCCTTTATCACTATACTTTTCTTAATCACTTCTCTTATATCTTCCTGATCATATTATCGCTTCCGCTTTAAAATTGAATTAACAAGTTATTAGACATCTAAAATAAATTTTTAATTTGATATCTATTTCAATTTGTGCATCTATTCACCTCCCCTCTAGATGTCATTTGTCTAACAAATGATATCAGAGCTTGATTAAATAAGATATTTCTAAACGATATGTCAAGATGTCTATGCAAAATTAGGTTTACAGGGAAGGAGCCTCAATAAATAGACCACCATTATTTGAAGACTATCAATTTTGGAAGGCGAGAATGGAAATATTTTTACAAACACTAGATTACGATGTTTGGGATGCTGTACTCAACGGTCCCTACATTCCAATGAGAATAATGGAGTCTAGGGTTGTTCCAAAGACTTTTGATCAATGGATACCAAATGAAAACAAGTGTGCCCAATATGATGTAAGAGTCTTAAACACTACTGTTTCCGCCTTAACTCGTAATGAATTTTTCAGGGTCTCACAATGCAAGACGGTAAAAGAAATATGGGACACTCTTGAAGTGACACATGAAGGAACCAATGAAGTAAAGCGAGCACGTAAGAACACACTCATCCAGGAGTATAAATTGTTTCAAAAGTAGCAGAATGAAAGCATCACGAATTTCCATACACGTTTCACACATATAGTAAATCACTTGAAAGCATTAGAAAATAGTTTTGACAATGAGGAGTTGAATACAAAGATCTTGAAATCCTTAGACAGGAATTGGCAAGCAAAGGTCACTGCTATTACAGAATCAAAGAATCTCACAAAAATGAATATTGCTACTCTATTTGGAAAGTTGTGAGAGCATGAGATGGAACTACAAAGGTTAAAGAATGGTGAACAGAACCAAGCCAAGACGATAACTCTAAATGCAGTAAAAACTTCACATGATGAAAGTGAAAATAAAGGTAAGTTTTTGGATTCCAATATATCTCTTTTTGTTAAAAATTTTACTCGATTTATGAAGAGCAGGAAAAAGAGATAACAAAGAAAAGAGAAAACCAATAGGTACGAGTACTATGGATGTGGAAAGTTTGGCTATATCAATCCAGACTGTCCAAAACTTAAGAAAGAGAAGAAAGATGTGAAAGAGAAGAAGAAAGAGAAGAACTGTATCTATAAGAGCAAACACAAAGCTTATATTGCTGGGGAGGAAAATGATTCTTCCACAACACAAGAGAGTTCTTCCGAAAGCAGTGATGGAGAAGAAGAAAAAAATCTTTGCTTAATGACAAAGAGTGATGATGAAGCCTGATCACAAGTAATTAGCACAAATTCCTTAAATGCATATGATGAGTTGATTGAAGCCTATCAAGAAATGTTTGAACATCTTGAAAGACTAGCTAAGAAACATACTGCACTTAAACAAAAGTTTTCAGGATTATAAAACATTGTTAGTATTCTTGAAGAAGAAAATGAGTGCTTAAAGAAGGATGTTGAGAAATTTAAAACTATGTATAAAAATAAAGAAGTTGTTAAACCTTGCGAAAATTGTAATCATTTGAAAAATGAGGTTTTAAAGTTAGAGAAAATAAGGAGTGATTTCTCCAAATCTTGATTCTATGTTAAGTTATCAAAGAATGGATTCTAGCAAAGCTGGACTTGATTACAAATCCAAGGAAAGTCTAGAACCTCATAACACTATTTTTGTGAAAGAGTAAAGGAAAACAGATGAAAAACCAGTTTTAAGAACTTTAAGAAACTCATTTAGACCTCTTCAAAGAAAACCAACATGTTTTTATTGCATGAAATTAGGTCATACATCAAATAGATGTTACATAAAACATTTTGGCATATCTAATGGCAAATATGAATGAGTGTCTAAAGGAACAAAACATTTATACATGTCTAAATGATCGTTTGAGCATCTAATAAATTATGAATTTTCGAAAAAAAATTTCTTGTTGTCATAATCAATTATGACATCACCATAATCGATTATGATAGGTCTAATGTGATACTGATGAATTTTCTTGTTGTGATAATTGATTATGTTATTTGTGTATGTGCTGTGATAATCGATTATGTTGTCTTTTAGAGTGAAATTTCTTGCTATCATAATCAATTATGTTGATTCTGAAGGTGATGTGATAATCGATTATGACAGAACACTTTTGAAAGTTAAAAAAAATAAATTAATTACATCATGGTTCTATTCTTTTATCCTTAGTCTTTTGGCAGAGACTTGTGATTCTACTAACTTTTTAAGGACCCAAAGATGATGAAAGAGTACCTAGATTTGTATGTTGATATTGTAGGTGATTATCAAGGATAAGAAATCAATGCAGGTTATTGGAGCTAAATGGGTTTATAAGAACAAGCTAGATGAATAGGAAAATATTACAAAGATAAGTTTATTCTTGTCTCTCATGCCTCTGTATTGAATATTTGCACTTATCTATCACATAAATTCAATTGTTGACCAACTTTGAAATTTGAAAGTTTGAATTTTGAAAAATTGAATTTATGAAAATTGGAAATTATTAAAGTTTGAAATTTGAAAGTTTGAGATTTTTGAAATTTGAAATTTTGCAGTTTGAGATTTTGAAATTTGACATTTTTGTAGTTTGAGATTTTTTTAAATTTGAAATTTTACAGTTTGAGATTTTTGAAATTTAAGATTTTTGAATTTGAATTTGAATTTGAATTTGAAATTTGGGATTAAAAATTTGAATTTGAAATTTGGGATTAAAAATTTGAATTTGAAATTTGATGGAATTTAAATTTGAAATTTGTTGCAATTTGAATTTGAAATTTGAAATTTGGAATATGAGTGAATTTGAATTTGAATTTGAAAGCTGCCTAAAAAAACTGCAATTGGTGGAAACTACTGCATTCCATTCTATCATCTCTGCAATCATTCCATTATCTTATCTTTCTCTCTCTTCATTTGCCTTGGGTATCCTAGATATTGCCTCCTTAATATGATGTTCTTCTCTATGACACTTTGTGATG